GAGCAGTGTGGAAATCTGTATGGGTATTTATAGGTTCTTGCAGAGCCAGATAGATGCTTGAATGTATCCAAGGCCTCCAGCACCCACTGAGGTGGCTGGAGGAAGAGACCCATTTTGTAAAGACAGCTCACACGGTGTTAGTACTGGTGAATGGACAGCACTCACATGGGGAAGTGGAACCAAACTTCTTGTTGTGCCAGGTGAGCTGTCTCCTCTCTGTGTTCGGATGGACTCAACACACACAATCCTGTGGTCTAGCTTCACAAATAAGAGTGTAGTGGCTTTGGGGAGCAATCTGGGATGGATTTAGTATTCCCCTCAAAGAAGTGGTTGACTTTCTATCTAAGCAATGTGGACCAGGAAAGGCTCCATGCCAGGGATAGGAAGCATGGGAAAACTTATGAAAAACAATTAAATTTTTTCCTCCTTTGGAAACTGTGACTACGTACTGACACCTAAGAGCCTTTCTCAAGAATGTGAAGGAATGGGAAGCACTGCCACCCCTGTGCTACCCCTCCTAGCATAGGCATAGCTGGGTAAAGGCTTAGGGAGATGTGCTGCTTCTCAAGTGGTTCGCGAGGTTTTTGTTATGGGAGGAAATGCTGTGGGATTATAATAGCGGCTACAGCGAGGTGACTTTTGGCTCCGGGACCAGGCTGACCGTCCAACCCAGTGAGTGTGCATCTTTCCTGTGTTTGCTTTGTCCATAGTCCTTGGCTGTTCACCGTAGTGCCCTCTTAGGCATAGTTACTCTGGGTCACGTTGTAGGTGGGAAGGAGAACATGGGCCGTGTTTCATTTAATGCAGAGAATGTAATCAGGGGAGTCTCAGGGATACTGGACATGCACAAAACCTCCCACTTGGATGTGCAACTTGAAACGCAGTTTCAGGAACAGATTTCCCCATGCTCTGTGTAGCAGCACTTTTGGGCTGCACGGTCCCCCTGATACTGGAAAGCGTTCTCATGGGAGGGAGGTGTCACTGATAGCCTTAAAAATAAGAAAAGGCAAAGGGAAACCCTGCACTGAAAAGCCCAAGTGAGCTGGGAATAGTTTTCCCCTTGTCCAGGAAATGACACTGGACTCAAGGTTATTGTGTCAGGGAGCCTTGCTATGGCATGAAAGCAGGTTCTTTCTGTTTGAGGCCATGTGCAGGGCTGATGCAGACATTTTTGTAATGAAATGTGTCACAGTGTGAATAATGCAGCCCATGTCACTTTTGGAAAGGGAACGGAGCTTTTGGTGATACCAGGTAAGCAGCAACTTGTCCTGGAAACTGGAATTGCTGAATTTTCATCTTGCTTTTAGTAGTTATATGGAGACCAATCGTGGAAGGGAATTGTGCAGTTCTCCAGGTGTCCCTTGGACTTGCTTTTCCTGCCTGTCCTTTGCCTTGTGCTCCTGTGCTGTCTGTTATGGAATCAAAGATTCTTTAGAAGCCTGTTCCCAATTCCCTCTTCTGCCTGGGCACTCATGGATGTACGGTTTTTGAGAACTGATACCCCAGAGAAGGATGGAGGCAGGTCCTGTCCATACTAAAGTTGTTCCAGCAGTCCTTCTGTTCTAGTGTCTGTGTATCCCTGCACTGTTCATGCTGCGGTGGATGTGAGTGTGAGCAATGGTGCTTACCACAAAGGCACCTTTGGGAGTGGGACAAGGCTCTTTGTATTGCCCAGAAAGTGCTTGCTGAGCAAGCCAAGACTGCCTGACGCTTTTCAGGCTTGGTGAGCTCTATGGAACATGCACCACCTGACTGGTTTTTGATCAACCTGGGGTAGATTTCCCACTCTAAGAACAATCCAGGGGAAAAGCTGAAGGAACTGTGGGGACAGGGGAAGGAGGTTGAGGAGCGCCCCTTAGTTCTGTCCCCAGCCTTGGCCTCATCCCACATGGGCATTGTGGCAACCCCTGCTCCTGCCCTGGGATCCTTCAGTCTCTTGTCACCCTTCTGCTGCCTCTCCTACAAGGCCAAGCTGGGCAGAGCCCTGGGGACAGATGCTGCTCTTTCAAGCAGCTTGCTGGGCTTTTTGTTATGGAAGGAAATGCTGTGTGATTATGGCAGCAGCTACACCCAGCTGACGTTTGGCTCAGGGACCAGACTGTCTGTCCAGCCCTGTAAGTGTGCAGCCTTTCGGTGTGTCTTTTGCCAAAAGCCCCTTAGGGTGCCTTGCAGATAAACTTGTTCTATCGAGCTCACATTTCCTAGGGAAGGAGAACAGAGGTGCTATTTCCAGGCAGACAATGAAGAGCAGTCTCTCAGATGGTGTATTCATGAAATCCCCCCTTGTGTAACTGAAGGCAGAAACAGCAGTCCTCCAAAATGGAATTTGTAAGCACAGGTTTAACAGTGCTCTTGACCCAAGAGCCAGATTAAGGAGGGAGTCCCAGCTGAAGATGGAGCTCACCCTAGACTGGGATTGTGTTCTTATTCCCATCCCTTTTTTGTCATTCCTGTAAGAACAAGCCTCTGGGGGAGGGATCATAAATTGTTCCTTGATACTTTGGGAGTAAGGTGATCCCATCTCTAATACCTGAGCTGGCTGCGATCAAATCTGGTTCCTCCCATGTCCTTGAACATGAAAAAAGCTAATTGAGAAAGAGGGGAAAGAGGGGCTAGAGGAGCAGTGTGGAAATCTGTATGGGTATTTATAGGTTCTTGCAGAGCCAGATAGATGCTTGAATGTATCCAAGGCCTCCAGCACCCACTGAGGTGGCTGAAGGAAGAGACCCATTTTGTAAAGACAGCTCACACGGTGTTAGTACTGGTGAATGGACAGCACTCACATGGGGAAGTGGAACCAAACTTCTTGTTGTGCCAGGTGAGCTGTCTCCTCTCTGTGTTCGGATGGACTCAACACACACAATCCTGTGGTCTAGCTTCACAAATAAGAGTGTAGTGGCTTTGGGGAGCAATTTGGGATGGATTTAGTATTCCCCTCAAAGAAGTGGTTGACTTCCTATCTAAGCAATGTGGACCAGGAAAGGCTCCATGCCAGGGGAAAGAAGCAAGGGAAAACTTGTGAAAAGAAATTCCTTCCTCCTTTGGAAGCTGTGAATATATACTGACATCCAAGAGCCTTGCCCAAGAATCTGAGTGAGTGGGAATCACTGCCACCCTTCTGCTGCCACTGCTAGCCCAGGCATAGCTGGGTAAAGGCTTGGGGACATGTGCTGCTTCTAAAAGTGGCTTGCGGGGTTTTGGTTATGGAAGGAAATGCTGTGTGAATATTGGCAACACCTACGAGCTGACCTTTGGCTCCGGGACCAGGCTGACCGTCCAACCCAGTGAGTGTGCATCTTTCCTGTGTTTCCTTCGTCCATAGTCCTTGACTGTGCACCATAGTGCCCTCGTAGGCATAGTTACTCTGTCTGGGTCACGTTACAGGTGGGAGGGAGAACATGGGCACTGCTTACTTTAATCTGAGTGAGTGGGAATCACTGCCACCCTTCTGCTGCCCCTGCTAGCCTAGGCATAGCTGGGCAAAGGCTTGGGGACATGTGCTGCTTCAAAAGTGGCTTGGGGTTTTTGTTATGGGAGGAAATGTTGTGTGATTATAATAGCGGCAAGTACGAGCTGACGTTTGGCTCAGGGACCAGACTGTCTGTCCAGCCCTGTAAGTGTGCAGCTTTTCTGTGTGCCTTTTGCCAAAAGCCCCTTAGGGTGCCTTGCAGATAAACTTGTTCTATCGAGCTCACATTTCCTAGGGAAGGAGAACAGAGGTGCTATTTCCAGGCAGACAATGAAGAGCAGTCTCTCAGATGGTGTATTCATGAAATCCCCCCTCGTGTAACTGAAGGCAGAAACAGCAGTCCTCCAAAATGGAATTTGTAAGCACAGGTTTAACAGTGCTCTTGACCCAAGAAGCCAGATTAAGGAGGGAGTCCCAGCTGAAGATGGAGCTCACCCTAGACTGGGATTGTGTTCTTATTCCCATCCCTTTTTTGTCATTCCTGTAAGAACAAGCCTCTGGGGGAGGGATCATAAATTGTTCCTTGATACTTTGGGAGTAAGGTGATCCCATCTCTAATACCTGAGCTGGCTGCGATCAAATCTGGTTCCTCCCATGTCCTTGAACATGAAAAAAGCTAATTGAGAAAGAGGGGAAAGAGGGGCTAGAGGAGCAGTGTGGAAATCTGTATGGGTATTTATAGGTTCTTGCAGAGCCAGATAAATGCTTGAATGTATCCAAGGCCTCCAGCACCCACTGAGGTGGCTGGAGGAAGAGACCCATTTTGTAAAGACAGCTCACACGGTGTTAGTACTGGTGAATGGACAGCACTCACATGGGGAAGTGGAACCAAACTTCTTGTTGTGCCAGGTGAGCTGTCTCCTCTCTGTGTTCGGATGGACTCAACACACACAATCCTGTGGTCTAGCTTCACAAATAAGAGTGTAGTGGCTTTGGGGAGCAATTTGGGATGGATTTAGTATTCCCCTCAAAGAAGTGGTTGACTTTCTATCTAAGCAATGTGGACCAGGAAAGGCTCCATGCCAGGGGAAAGAAGCAAGGGAAAACTTGTGAAAAGAAATTCCTTCCTCCTTTGGAAGCTGTGAATATATACTGACATCCAAGAGCCTTGCCCAAGAATCTGAGTGAGTGGGAATCACTGCCACCCTTCTGCTGCCACTGCTAGCCCAGGCATAGCTGGGTAAAGGCTTGGGGACATGTGCTGCTTCTAAAAGTGGCTTGCGGGGTTTTGGTTATGGAAGGAAATGCTGTGTGAATATTGGCAACACCTACGAGCTGACCTTTGGCTCCGGGACCAGGCTGACCGTCCAACCCAGTGAGTGTGCATCTTTCCTGTGTTTCCTTCGTCCATAGTCCTTGACTGTGCACCATAGTGCCCTCGTAGGCATAGTTACTCTGTCTGGGTCACGTTACAGGTGGGAGGGAGAACATGGGCACTGCTTACTTTAATCTGAGTGAGTGGGAATCACTGCCACCCTTCTGCTGCCCCTGCTAGCCTAGGCATAGCTGGGCAAAGGCTTGGGGACATGTGCTGCTTCAAAAGTGGCTTGGGGTTTTTGTTATGGGAGGAAATGTTGTGTGATTATAATAGCGGCAAGTACGAGCTGACGTTTGGCTCAGGGACCAGACTGTCTGTCCAGCCCTGTAAGTGTGCAGCTTTTCTGTGTGCCTTTTGCCAAAAGCCCCTTAGGGTGCCTTGCAGATAAACTTGTTCTATCGAGCTCACCTTTCCTAGGGAAGGAGAACAGAGGTGCTATTTCCAGGCAGACAATGAAGAGCAGTCTCTCAGATGGTGTATTCATGAAATCCCCCCTCGTGTAACTGAAGGCAGAAACAGCAGTCCTCCAAAATGGAATTTGTAAGCACAGGTTTAACAGTGCTCTTGACCCAAGAAGCCAGATTAAGGAGGGAGTCCCAGCTGAAGATGGAGCTCACCCTAGACTGGGATTGTGTTCTTATTCCCCTCCCTTTTTTGTCATTCCTGTAAGAAAAAGCCTCTGGGGGAGGGATCATAAATTGTTCCTTGATACTTTGGGAGTAAGGTGATCCCATCTCTAATACCTGAGCTGGCTGCGATCAAATCTGGTTCCTCCTATGTCCTTGAACATGAAAAAAGCTAATTGAGAAAGAGGGGAAAGAGGGGCTAGAGGAGCAGTGTGGAAATCTGTATGGGTATTTATAGGTTCTTGCAGAGCCAGATAAATGCTTGAATGTATCCAAGGCCTCCAGCACCCACTGAGGTGGCTGAAGGAAGAGACCCATTTTGTAAAGACAGCTCACACGGTGTTAGTACTGGAGGATGGAATGCACTCACATGGGGAAGTGGAACCAAACTTCTTGTTGTGCCAGGTGAGCTGTCTCCTCTCTGTGTTCGGATGGACTCAACACACACAATCCTGTGGTCTAGCTTCACAAATAACAGTGTAGTGGCTTTGGGGAGCAATTTGGGATGGATTTAGTATTCCCCTCAAAGAAGTGGTTGACTTTCTATCTAAGCAATGTGCACGAGGAAAGGCTCCATCCCAGGGGAAAGAAGCAAGGGAAAACGTGTCAAAAGAAATTCTTTCCTCCTTTGAAAACTGTGACTATATACTCCAAGAGCCTTGCCCAAGAATCTGAGTGAGTGGGAAGCACTGCCACTCTTCTGCTGCCACTGCCTATGCATGACTCGGTGTAGGCTTAGGGCGATGTGCTGCTTCTCAAGTGGCTTGAGAGGCTTTTTGTTATGGAAGGAAATGCTGTGTGATTATGGGTCCACCTACAAGCTGACTTTTGGCTCCGGGACCAGGCTGACCGTCCAACCCAGTGAGTGTGCATCTTTCCTGTGTTTGCTTTGTCCATAGTCCTTGGCTGTTCACTGTACTGCCCTCTTAGGCATAGTTACTCTGGGTCACGTTACAGGTGGGAAGGAGAACATGGGCAGTGTTTCATTTAATGCAGAGAATGTAATCAGGGGAGTCTCAGGGATACTGGACATGCACAAAACCTCCCACTTGGATGCGCAAGTTGAAACGCAGTTTCGGGAATGAATTTCCCCATGCTCTGTGTAGCAGCACTTTTGGGCTGCACGGTCCCCCTGATACTGGAAAGCGTTCTCATGGGAGGGAGGTGTCACTGATAGGCCTTAAAAATAAGAAAAGGGAAAGGGAAACTCTGTATGGAACAAGAACAAGGCTTTGGGTCAAGGGATCATAAAGCCTTCCCTGATTCTTAAGGAGCAGGGTGTTCCCATCTCTGATACCTGAGGTGGATGTAATGAAATCTGGTTGCTCCCATGCCTTTGAACATGGAAAAAGCTAATTGAGAAAGAGAGGCTAGAGGATGTGTGGACATCTGTATGGGTATTTATAGGTTCTTGCAGAGCCAGATAGATGCTTGAATGTATCCAAGGCCTCCAGTACCCACTGAGGTGGCTGAAGGAAGAGACCCATTTTGTAAAGACAGCTCACACGGTGTCAATATTGGAGGATGGAAAACACTCACGTGGGGAAGTGGAACCAAACTTCTTGTTGTGCCGGGTGAGCTGTCTCCTCTATGTTCGGATGGACTCAACAGAGACAATTCTGTGGTCTAGCTTCACAAATAACTGTACTGGCTTTGGGGAGCTATTTGGGATGGTTTTAGTATTCCTTTTAAAGAAGTGGTAGACTTCCTCTCTAATCAGTGTGGACCAGGAAAAGCTCCATCCTGGGGAAAGTAAGTGAAAACTTGGGTAAACAAGTAAGTGAAATAGAAGAAGAGAGATGAGAAAGAAACTGTAACAGGTTTTAATAAGTGGTGGTGGTTTGGATTTGTCAAGGATGGAGGTAGAAAGAGAACTGCCTTGTGGCTCTTCTTTGTGGCATGGAATGCCACATTTAATGAGGCTGTAGTGTGGGGAGGAAGAAAAATAAGCCATGGCCATGGAAGGAAGGTGTAATGCATTAGAAGTATGTTCATGCAAAATGGTGGGATTTCCTTGAGGAATGTTACTTGGGCAGATTGGGGTGGATAGAAGTGTTATGCAGGTTTTTGCTATGGCAAACAACACAGTGTCTGTGAATAGCTACCAACTTACCTTTGGACACGGGACCAGGCTTGTGGTGATACCAAGTAAGATTGCTGAGGTTTGGGACACTGAGTTGTTGAGGGGGAAACTTCAGTCCCCCCAGGGCCAAGGTGAATGTTTGCTGGGAGAGCAGCGAGCTGCAGTTCAGAAGCTGTTCCCAAAATGTAGCAGCGGCAAGCTCTTGGTTACTGCAGTGTCTGCTGGATATTGCAGAGCCGCAGAGATGCTCTGCAGAGCAATGAATGGAGTTCCACCAGCTGTGGAGCTTTCCTGGGAGACAAGATGTAAAACTGACAACTCGTGTTGGTGCACCATTCCGTGCCACTCTTCCAGGTGTGTGAACTTTGACGGGAAGAAATAAACTATGGAGTTTTCTGTGAGTATCTCTCACTGAGTGTACCCCACTTGTAGTGGGGTAACTTGAGAAGTTCACATACCTGGAGAAATCAGCAGGTCAGTTCCTACTCTTAACAGTTTATGAAACTATTGGAAGGAAACCCATGACACAGAGCTGGCTTAGACAATGTCACAGGCACGAAGCTACTCCTAGTGGCACAGTACCTCTAACCATGCAGGGCCCATAAAAGACCTCTGGCAGACCTTTTGGAACTTCCACTGGGGACAGCCATCACTAAAGTGCTCATTAAGTCACTGGTGTTGCACCTCTGGGGTCAAGATTAGCCTGTATGAGTGTGTGAGGAGGTGTATTTCCTCTGAGTTGGGCAGCAGCTTCAGGTTAACTCTAGTTGTGGAATTTCATGTCTCAGGCTGAAGAACGGGAAGAGGATCTAATCTCTGTCACACCAGTTCCAGTCTGACCAGAGATACAGAAAGTTTGCTTTGGAGGGAATGGAGAGTGATGTAAATCTGCATAATACAAGCTGTGTGCTAAAGCAGCTCAGGATTTCTACTGCAGCTTGTTTGGAAAAAAAGCATAGGTTTCAGTGTGATGTTGGAACAATCTTCTACTGCTTTCTCCCTGAAATCAGTCTCCAGAGTGGGCTTTCTCTGTAGAGTGGGTAGGAATAGCATTCTAAGAGCTCTTGTTCTTCCATCTGGAAGATATCCTCCAGTAAAGATGAAATTAGGCTTGGTGGACAGCTCAGAGTATCATGATTTCCTTCTCAATCTTTCCTACAAGAAGAGGTCACAAATAGCGATACAGCACCTCCAATGCATCCGCCAACTCATTCAGATGGAATAACAGGAAGCACAGGTCACAGCGCTGTGGTTATCATAGATGGCATTTACCAAGACTAGCTGAAAACTTTCATAAAGTGCAAATATGCAAAGGACCTTATCGGAAAAAGACTCTAGTACCAGAACAAAGGCAGCGGCCACTCTGAGTAAGAATGAGTACTTTGCAAATTAGGTGCTGCTGAAGCTGCCTGCAAAAGCATTGCACAGATTGAAAGGGAGAAAACCACAGTAATTTGGAGAGAGCTGGATCTGTAGCTCTTCAGAAAGCATGATACTCATTATGAGAGAGAAGCAGAACAGCTCCATCAATTCCTCCTTCTTATTTCTTTCTATATATGTACTCCGTGACAATGACGTACCCTGGTTCATCTCTGTTTTATACAGGGATCTACCATAAAGCTTTCTATCTGCTCGTGTCTTCCTTTCCCTAACAAGCATCACTGAAATCTATTTCCAAACCAATAACTGGGAGGATGGGAGTTGGGAATGGTGTTGAAGGAGTCAGAATATACATTAGCCTGTATTCTGCACAGGTGGGAAAGAGGAAGCCTCATTAACTTCCTCAAAGCCAGGGTAAAACTGGGATAGATAGAGAGCAGTTCAGTAGAAGGGCCAGAGAAGGAATACTTAAGCTTTGTGGATTAGGCTTTTTTCTCACATCATGCTAATAAAGAAGCAGGCTATTTCTTTAAGGTGCTGACAACTGATGAAAAGCATTTATCTCAGTGACAGGGTAGGGGCTACACTTGCATAAGGATTTGAGACAGTTTCTAAAAGCCAAGATCGAGTTCAAATTTCTTCCATGGGAATAAGTTGAAACTTCTTCATCTAGGAGCTAAGTACTCCTTGGTTTTTCTACAGTATTTAGCAGTGTGGTGTGTGAACAGGCACAAAGCAAATACTAATCTAAACTCTCAGCCCTACAAGATAAGAGTTGTGAACTGAAACTCCCATTCAAACCTGTGACTCTGAAGTCCAATGGAAAATGCAGCCAGAGGGCAGCTGAGACCCCCAAACCTGCATCTTTGCTACAGTAAGCCTTCAATGATATTTGGTATCTGTTCATCATTAGAGTAATACAATGCCCATCACATTTAACTATTACTCATAAGCAAAGATTTAGGAAAGCACCTTCTCAAAGAATCAGACTTCAAGAGCTAGACAAGATGAAATGTATGCTGAGGGTACCAGTTTACAAAGCTAAACGTGCCAAAGAGAGTTTAACCACAGGTCGTGTTTTGATATGTGTGGAAAATCCTAGTCTAACTGACTTGCTAGCAGAATTTGAAGCAAGAAAACAGAAATAAACCCCAGGTGTCTTAGTCTTCTATCTGCAGCCTTCAGTTCCCCACACCCTTCTTCTGCGAGGGAAAATGTAGTAAAAAATCTTGTCCTGCACTATCAAGTGGAGGAACATGATGAAACATTCATTGGTTTCATCTTTCTTTCCCTAAAAGCAGCAGGAACTATGACTGTGTATTCTCATCTAATGTCTCTTCTTCTTTTTCAGACATTACTCCATCTCCTTCAGTCTACAGGCTGACCTCTAAAGATGATGAGAATGTGGAAATGTGCCTTATCACAGATTATTCCCCTGAAAAGCTTACTCTTAACTGGGCTGATAAGGTGACAAATACTGTTGTGGAGGTGACAACACCTGAGAACAAACAGGAAGCCAGCTACCTGTCAACCTACTGGGGCAAGAAAGATGAAATGCTGTGTGGTGCAAATCACAAGGGATTTGGAGCACTGGAGGGGGAAGATCCTGAAAGTGGTAATGGCATTGTTGCATGTCTGTACAGGGTTAGTGGAACTCTGGTCTCTGTGCTAGTGGTATGATCAGGACTCACATCTCCCAACCCTGCAAGCAAAGATGCATTATGTTCCCAGACTCTAGAGGAATGTTGACTTGTTGCCTCTGTTCCCCCTTGCTGGAAACAAGATTAAGGGCTGGTAGACTGGTACCGTCACAGCAAAGAGCTCTTAAAATCACACTGTGGAGCATATAAAGCTTGAAATTCCTCTGTCTAATGGAACACTAAAGTTTAATTGGATCATGTTTTATGCTTGCCCTGAAACCAGCAGAAATGTGTTTCTGGGAGGGTTTACTAGCCAGAAACTCTAATCCAGCCAGCGCAGATTTCTCTTTATGAACTTCCAAGGAAGTACATTTCTGTTATTAATTACATTTATTGCTACTTTTTGCAGGTTCCAGTGCTTTATGTGTTACAGGAATGTCTCTACAATTCAGGACAGGTATGCACACAGCATTTGAGGGGTAAAGGTTGTCCTGATTAAAGGAAATGGCTTCCCAAGTTTTGGTTAATGTTTCCTGTTTGCAGAACTCCTGTTGGAGCAAAAAGCTCAGACTGGAAACTTCTGAAAGGGCCCCAGAGGCTTTAAATGTCAAAGCTGGAAGTCATTGGGTTAATGTAGTCTTCCAGGTCTGAGCTGGTAATTTGGTGTAGCATGTGCCTACATGCCCTTGCTAAGACCAGCCAAACACTGCTCCCCATCCTGTAATGACTGAAAGTACCAATATGAGTCAGCCTTACTGGATGCCTGCCTGCATTTCAGACTTCAAAAGAGTTAGTTTTATTTTGGGGTACACAAACACCTGATGAACTAAAAGATAAGCACGTGGTTTCTGCAGTGTGTGCTCAGAAGCAGGGTTGCACTAAAGATATGGTGCCTCTGAGAAAGCTTTCCTTCAGCTTATGGCTGTGGGAGTATACTAGCCAGTGCTGGGGCCCAGGCAATTGCTGCTCCTGCTAGTTCAAAGGAGCTGACCTGCATCTGCTCTTGCCCTGTTTGCAGAATAGCTATGCTTTTGCAAACCTTGCTCAAAAGAACCCAGTTAGCCAAATGTTTCCAAAACACCACTTCAGAGAAACACCCACCAGTAAACTTGGCTGATTTGATCAGTCTTTTCACAGGGTGTGATAAACATAAAATGACTATTTGATGACAGCTCCCTGCTTCCCCAATATAGAGCAATGTATTTGCAAATGAAAATGGCTTTGTAACTTGAGCTTAATAGAAATTCCAAGTAGCCTTTGTGTTCTTTGAATCAAATAAAACTTGTTATCCCCATGCCTATCTTAAAAAACTTCATGGAGAAGAAAGAGGGATGCCTCCAGCATCCTGAGTTTATAAAACACTTCATTTAAAGCCAGCTAGATGGTCGGCAGACTTGCATATTGCATGAGTAAATGGTTATTGAATGAAAACCTGGCCCTTGAAACACCAATTGAAAGAAATTAAAGTGTGAGACAGTCTCACTCACTGTCTCAGGAGCTACCCTATTAGATGGCTCAGTCATACAAAGCAGAACAGCTTCATTAAGAGTGCTTGTAAGTCTTTCTGGAAGCGAGGATGTCTCAGTGCTCTTGTGACTTTCATCCTCTGCTCCTTTTACAGATGAGAACCTGAACACGATGTCTTTATCACAGCTGGGTCTGAAAATAACTTTAATGAAAGGAATAATTTTTAATGTCCTGATGACGATACTCGTGTGGAAAAAAAAGTGAGTATGCATGGGGGGGTGGCAAGGCCTCTGACAGAAAACATCTGCATCAGTTCATTAGCTGTGAGTGTCCCTTCTCTGTAATAAGTGTTTATGCAGTCTATGCATACACCTTTCTGTATACCAACAGTAAAATCCCTCCACTCCTTTGGCCATATCATTGCTTTTGCCCACCCCTGAAGTCTATTTACTTTTCCTTATCCACATGCAAATTTAACTTTTTCCTTCTTTCTAGATATCCCTCCCTTCTATTTCTGCATCCCTCTCTTGTCTGCATTCATCCATTCAATTCATCCCCTGACCAGTCTCCAGCTGGGAATGTTTGATGCTTACTGACTTTAAGACCTTACACCTGATATACTAGCTTTGGTCTAGTGTCTCTCCTCTTTCTATTGCCTAGACACTTCAGGTCTGCAATCTTGTCGCTGTATCCCAAATAATGATATAACACACCTTTATTTTGTTACAGGAATGAAAGTAACTAGATGGTGCAGTCCTGAAGTATCAAAAAAGTCTGCTGAGGAACCTTTACCAGAGCACCATCTGCAAGAGGGCACACAGGCATTCCTATTGAAAGAGATATCACTTGCTATCTGTGTATCAGCCAGTCATTATAATCTAAATTGCTTTATTTGCATTGTTCCAAAGCTACTCAAACCTAAGCTTAAAATTTCCAGCATTCTCCTCCCCCAGATGCCTGATTCATTTAGCACGACAATGCCTCTTTTTGCATAAAGCACAGTTTGGCATAACTATAAATTACCAAATATCACTCTTACCTACTGGTGTTAAAATGACATCCGATTTCTGTTGTTTGGACGTGGTGTTTGTTGAAATCTGCAAGTTAAATATTACCTGAATGTGAATTTTTCATATTTTGGTAGCTTTCAGGTATGCACCTCTTAGGGTGCACACCCAAAGACACCGTTTCAGTTGCAACAGTTTGAAAAGCAAAGGGAGAGTTACTCGGGTCACCCAAAAGTCCTGAATTCAATGAACTTCTCACTTCATTATCACAGAACAAAAGAATGAGGTTTAGTACTTTTTGGGGTCTATCTGGCCTTAACATTTTCTGAATTTAAATCAGCTGAAGATTTGGCTTTGCATTTAGTAAAAATACAAACTACTTTTGTTCTTTTTCTTTAGTTCTAATCTTTGACATGGTCTGGTGGGAGGTGTCCCATGCCCATGGAACTAGATGATCTTGAGGTTCTTTCCAACCCAAACATTCTAGGATTCTATGATTTTATGATCTTGGATTTCCCAATGTATTTTCATAATCATTGCATAAAACCACACTGAAATATTTTCCTGCCCATGTCTGTGCTCCTTGGAAACACTGCATGCATGTAAAAATCACATGCTGCTATTGGTTGAATTGTATTGGCAACCACATTGATGTCTGGCATTTCTTTGGGCCTTTGGCTGCTATTAAACAGTTCTTATAAAAAATAAGAAACTTGTTTGTGTTTTGTATCTGTAGTTTAAGGCACTTGTTTCACCCTTCCAATGAGCTTTAGGAATGAGCCTGGCCTTTAGGGTGAAGGAGGGAAAGGGCAGCAGACTCTTCCCTTCAGCCTGACTTGGCCACCAGGCACTTTTTGCAGGACTTGGGGAATCTACTGCAGGGATCTACAGAGTCTCTTCCCAGAACATCCTTGCTGTGTCTGGGTAAGAACAGCTTGGAGGGTGGGGAATGGTGGAAAGCAGCTCTCCTCCAAGGGTAGAGTTTGCACTATGTGAAGACAAAGGTAAAATATGGCTTGCCCACAGTAAGGGGAGTAGTCCAGGCTCTTGAAGGCAGATACCTACTGCTATGGAGAACACAGAAACCTAAAGTGTCCTACCTCTGAATGCTCCCCACTCCCAAGCATCACTGGAGAATAAGGTCCCTGCTTTGCATTAATGACACCAACTGTCCAGACTGTGTCTCCAGGCTCAGACTGCTACTGGCAAGCTGCATTTGGAGGGAGAAATGAGAAGGGTGCTCTGAAAGAAACACAGCCTTTCCTGCAAAGACTGAACCTTGCTCACACCTCACACCAGGGTCCAAACTGAGTGGCAGGGAAAGCCTTGCTGGATGATGGGGGTGATTCTCCCTCCCCGGGTATTTCTCACCCTGCTGGATTCACAGCAATTGCAAGGAACTCTGATTTTGAAAAGGCTCATGCTTCAAATGCTTTTAGACAAAAGCCCTGGTGCTTCACGTGGGAGAGGGCCCTGTGTGGAAACCAGGCCAGCATTCCTGCCACAGCACAATAGTCTTCCTGGTCTCCTGCCACAGTGCTGTCACCTGACCATTTAGCAGGTCACAGGGTGACAGAGTTACTGACCTCTTCAAACTTTCTGGGTACAGATGCTCAGGGATTCATTCTCTTGCCTCTCCCTTGAAACAACAGCCACTCATTTCTCTCCAGCTCTTTAAATATGAGATTTCAGGCAGCTCTTGAAGCTTACATTTGCTCATGATGAGATCTGTCACGTCACTTGATGAAGCTGCCTAAACCAGATTTGAATTACAAAGCAAATCATTACATTTCACAGATTTCCAATGGAGTAATCACATTCCAGAAGCCTTCAGGGAAGGAGGGTCTCCATCCTCACTACTTTTATCCATCTGAAATGTTTTGTGTTGCACTTCAACCCTGCACCTAGCTGTATGGTCAAAGAGGAACAGTGTGTTGCCTCTTTTTCCACATCTCAGCCTTTTCCAGGTTCAATGACCCCAGTAATACGATTTGCCAAGTGAGGAATGGGTGTATAGATAAATGTTTTGACTGAAGTGACTCTTAGTATACGATCTGCAAAACACTGAATTTGTAGGTCTAGTTTAAATATACTTTAGAGATATTAGTGGAGATATCATCACCACTTTGCTCTTTCTTGTTTATTTCAAGAAAGAAAGCCTGCAGTGCAAAGCAAAGGCAGGAAATAACACAGTAGGGCAGGATGTGGAAGGGGTCTGAGAGCCCAGGTGGGGCAGGAAGAGGCTGCACCACCAGTTCCATGATGCCACAAACAAGATCTGGGTCACCTTTCGCTGCTCTTCTACACCCAACCACATAAACCACTTCCTCTGGAAAGTGGAGCACAAAACGGGGGGCGAGGGGAGCAGGGCTGGTGTGACACGTGGCAGGGAGGAGGAGATGTGTGTGGAAAAGAACAGCAGACGTTAGGCCACAAGCCAATATTGAATGAGGTTAAGGCACCCTCCCTTCCTGCCCCTTCCCCACAGCCTGGTGCTCTTAGTTCTGGGGGGGAAGTTGTTCTGGGCATGGCAGGAAAGATTGAGCTATCTATAGTGTGGGCCGGGTAAACGAGGGGAAAAAATACATTATAAAGCATGGTAAGGGGTGGGGAAGAGATCTTAGAACTGTGAATTTGCTGATAGGCCTCTGCACCCTGTTATACAGGCAGTGAATCTGTGCAGAAAAATCCTTTCACTTCTCACTCAAGAGAAGGGAGGAAGATGGGGCAGGCCAGAGTCCTCTCACATTAGCAAGGAAGGAGATACCACCCTCTCCCCAACACCAGCTCCTGTCCCTTAATACCTAGTTATGGGTAGGAGATGAATTTGCATCCTTTCTAGGGTTTTGTTGGAGAAAAGACCCTGACATCTGCCACCAAAGTATGGTCTATGTAAGGAACAAAGCTTCAAGTTATCTACAGACTTGTTAAAACTTTATCACATGTGGAATTAGCTCTAATGGGACCTGCATTCTAGTTAGTGCTGAGTTCATGGCAACTAGTGGCATTGCAAGCTGGTAAAAATTAGCTGGGGGGGAAGGAACCCTACAGAATCCCCACTTTTTCCCCTTTTCCACAGGCTCCATGTAGTCCTTAAGCAGAAGTGGCCATAGAAGAGCCCTTGAGTCACGCAAACCACACGGAGGCACTAGCAGCTCACAAACAGCAGTGGCAAAGGGGAGAGCCGGAGCTGCTCCGCCTCTTGTGAACATGGGGCTCTGCTTTGCTTCCTGTGGACACGCTGGCTCTGCTCTGCCTGACTGAGGGCCTCTCTTATGGGAAAGAGCGCGGTGGCTCATTTACAAGACCTGCCTGCTGTCATGTTCCCTGCCTGCTCCCCAGCAGTACAAACCCAGCTTAATGCCTGGGGCTGGAGGGAGATGGTGCTGTCAGAGCTGGCATGAATTCTCTTTTCCTACCAGACCCGGAGAGCATCCTTCGTGACAGTAAAGACCCAGCTCCCTCATACCTCATTCTTCAGAGCCTATAATAGGCAAGAGACTTAGGAGCCCCAGGTTTCACACTTTTACAGGTTTAATGGCTGTAGCACATCTGGAAATGCTAGAAGGGAAAAGGTGGTGAAGAGAAGCCATAATCTAACACTGAGGTTGAAGCTATCAGATCCCATATCCCATATCAGATCTCCCGAGTGCCAGCAGACAAACATTTCTTTTCACATTGCCTCAACACATATTTTACCTATCCAGTGCTTCTGCTGCAGAGCAAACTGGACAAGCCTGAAGCAAGGATAGAGCCTCATGCATGAAGGCAACACCAGTAAATTCTCTAGTCAAAGGTTTGGAGGGGCAGGAAATAGGAAGATGAAAAGAGTGGATGACAACCGAGTTTCCATGACTTGTTTCCTGCTTCCCTCTGAAACTGGGGCACAGAAAAAAGCCTGCTGGGTAGAATAGGAGGGAGAAATGTAAAAGGCAGGGAGCTGTGCCTGAGAGGGAACTTAGGTGTCAGAAGAACTTCTGTACTGATCAGCAATAGGGAAAAGACTGCAGTATCATAAAGGTTTTTATTGACAGAAAGGATTACAGTCACTGTAACAAGGCAGCAGACCCCTCCATAGGGCAGTCTGAGGGAAAGAAATCTTGAGCCCTGGGTCTCCTTCCTCCACCAAGGAAGTAGGTAAGACTCTGCTGGGGAACAGCACTTCCCAATGCCAAGTTTGACATCAGAGCTCAAGACCTGGTAGGAAAGAAAGAAATAAAGGCAATGTGAGCAAGGCTTCTGCAATGGGAGAGGAAATACCCCACAGGCCCCAATGATCTTATAGCCCCTTGCAACAGTAACAACAGGGCACATCCTCCATTTTCCAGCACCAAACTCCCTGCTCTCATCTGCTGAGAAACTCCAGACTTAAGACGCCAGCCATTCCATGGCCTCCAAATAGGATAATCCTCACCCAAAGAGCCCAGGACTTCCAGCTTCCAAAGCCTCTCTTTCAAAGAACAGCGTATTTATCTCATAAGAGAGAAACATGAGCGAGTCTACATAATACTCTTAGTTAAACTGCTTTTTAAATGATAAAAGCCAAAAAAAAAAAGTACACGCATGAAACCAGAAAGCCATAAATCCTAACCCAAAAGCTTTACTGTACTTGGCCAAGACAAAGCTGGGAGCTAGGCCTTCTGGATTCACTATCTTTCTAGTTCTCTCCCAGGGACAGAAGTACTGCAGTCCTGTGACCTGCGGTTCCCCCTTTTGTGACCACATGGATCAGTACCTTAGAGTCTCTTCTAGGCTCAGCCAACAAAATTGATGACGACGAGATGGAGGATGGTGTTGGCAAAGAGGAAATCAGCAAACGCCCGCTCTGGTGAAATGCCTTGGAACTCGCCTTTGTTCTGGGGGTTGATCTGGATCCGGAGGCAGACTGTACGGTAGAGAAGGAATAAGAGATTAGTGACCAGAAAAAGAAGCACAATTGTCCTGGGGCAGCCCAGTCCAGTCTAGGTCACCATTCCAGCTGCTTACCAAAAGAAAAGGTATCTCCATCTTTACTGTAAGATGAACAGGGCACTGGCAATGGATTTGTGCAGGGCTTTTATACAATCAATTCTGCCATAGCACTACACCATCAGGGGGGCCAAGCGAATCTGAAGAACAGGCTTAGATGGGACTAGCGTAAACACAGGGATATCTCTATGTCCTCCACTGGGTGCATTGGCGAGGGTTGCACAGACACAAGGTGGTTTTGGGGTGAACACAGGGATATCTCTATGTCCTCCACTGGGTGCGTTGAGGAGGGTTGCACTGATGCACGGTGGTTTTGGGGAGTATTATGGGTGAGCAATACCCTGAAAAAGTCGTTGCTAGAGCTGGAATTTCACCATGGGCACTACTAAATATAAAGTAGTAATAAGGAGGGCTCCTTGACTGACAGGGAGGACACCCTGGGAGTGACATACGGGCAGGACCCCTGCAGGGTCACAGCTGCTGTGGGGCAGGAGCCAAGGGGCTTCCGGCAGCACAAGGGGGAGCGAGGGGTGTTGGAGGGTGCTATGGGACCTCCCCGACTGCCGGGTTGAGGGAATCCTACGTTTCCTACAAGGCAAACGGGCACTTCCAGGCACCGCTCTGACGGCCGGGGGGCTCCGGCTTTATCGCGGAGGGGGTCCCGGTGAACACCGCGCGGGGCCACGGCGGGCACTGACCACCGAGGATGAAGCTGCCGACGGCGGAGATGAAGCCGCTGAGGAAGGAGTTGAAGGGGAAGGTGCCGACGCCGAGGCAGTAGCCGAACTGCAGCGCCCCGGTGAGCAGCACGTACAGGAGGTAGGCGTCCAGCACCTTGAGGCGGCTCGGCGTGCCGCTGCCGTACTCGGCCAGGAAACGCCGCACCACCGAGCCCACCGAGCCCGCGCCCGCAGCACCGGAGCCCGCCGCGCCCGACATGGTCCCGCCGGCCCGGCTGAGGTGGGCGGAAGCGGCTGCGAGCAGTGATTCCGGGCCGCGGCGGTACTGCGCAGGCGCAAGCCCAGCGCGCAGCCGTGTCGGAGGGTGCCGCGCAGGCGCGGGTCCGTCAAGGGGCGGAGCTAGGAGGCGCTGCCGGCGCAGTGCGCATGTGCGAGAGGCGCGGCGCGGGGAGGGAGCGGGTCCCGGGTGGCCATGGGCGTGCGGAGAAGCTCAGCTCCCGATGCGATGGGCAAGGAGCGGCTGCAGCCGCCGCCAGCAAGGTCAAGCTGAAATAGGTTCAAGCTAAAAGGAGTCTAGAAAAAACCCAGGCAAGCCCTTACCTCTTGTTTGGCTGACCCAGAGCAGGGTTGTGCCCGTCAAGAGCAGCAGCAGAGCTTTGCTTAGTGTGGTACAATGCACAGCTCTCCAGGAAGGGACTCCTTTGGTGCCTCGATGCTGACTTCCCTGTCTTGACTTCCTTGGAGGGAAGCATCATAGGCCTAAGTACTGGGCAGGCATTAACCTCATGATTTTGATCGCACAGAGCAGAGAAGGAGGGGGTTCAGTGCCTAATGTAAGGGAGGACGAGGTGCCACGTTTAGGCCTGAATGTGTTTGGCTCCAGAGATGAGCCAGTGTGGTTGAGGATGGAGCCTGGCTTGTGGTTCATGAATGTGTCAGCAGTGGGTGTGATACGTGGATAGACTCCACAACTCATTAAAGTTGTGAAGTAGGTATGCTTTTATTCAGCGCTGAGACGCATGGGGGATAGTTCCTCCAAAGGCATGCGTGCCTCAGTGTTGTTTCCCTCTACATTTATTCTCTAAAGTTATTCATAAGGTTGCACAATATGCCTATACATATTCATGTCCTATCCGCGCTTCGTATTTTAATGAGCTAGAAGATCCTTTGCGCCTGTGCAGTGCCCCCTCTGGTCATGGGCAGGAGTCTCAAGATGAAGTAAATGAGTCTTCCTCTTGTGAGGAGGGGTCTTCAAGATGAAGTAAATGAGTCTTCCTCAAGCCTGAACTTTTCACCTCTAGCCATCATGCATGCTCTTTAGGAGTCTGGTCAAAGTCCAAACCACAAAACTGGTCTTCACTGGAACTAAGTAACTGTTCCTTCCCCTTACCAGTCTGTTTCTTCCCCTTACCAGCCTGTTTCTCCCCCTTATCAATAGCCTATTGTCCTGGTACTGCATGGCAAGCTTGACAGGTATTTGCAAACAATGCTTTCTGTTAAAAAGGCAAAATTCCTTTATCCCCCCTTGCACAACCCCTTTGTATGACCCCCTTGTACAACCCCCCCTGTACGGCGGTCAACCCTCTACATCAGGTGTTGCAGTCACAGCGTCTTCACTGATCATTATGACTGAGCAGGACCTGTGCATCTCCAGGTTTGGAGAGGTGGGTCCACAGTGTTTCCATTCCACATGCCATGTATTTGGACCGCTGACTGAAAGGACCACCTTCCTGATAGCTGAGGATTGCTGTTTGACCTCTGGAGGGGAAGTTTGATGCAGTCTATGGATTGCTGTGCTGGCTGTAAGTAAAGTCTGTGAGGTTTTGCTCTGATGAGCCCTGGTGGGAAAACATTGTCCAGCGACATTTCTGGTCTTGCATCTCACACTGGGCTCTGTTAAAACTCCAAGTAACTTTGCATTCTGCTTCTCTCTGTCATTTCTTGAAGGCGCCTTGCCAAGTTTTGCTGTAGCTACAAACAACAGGAAGGTAGCAGCACGTTCCTCAAGGGGCTCATTAAGCTGCTGACAGAGTTCTGCATTCTGCCACTCCCCATAGAGTTTTAAGCATTGTGTAGCTAATTAGGGAGCTCTGAGGTGTGTTTCAGTCAACACAAACAGCATCACTTTTGATTGTCATTCGTCTTAATTATGCCTGACCCGAAGAATGGAAATGAAGACATTTTGAAAGGCAATGACTCTGGCTTATATCCTGGTGGGGATCAGACAGAGGGAGGAGAAGTGTGTTTGTGGTCAACCAATGAGTGGCCAGAGTCCTAAGTTTGATTCATGTGCTGGCAATAAGAGTTCTTATTCTAGTCTGTTCTCTCATCACTGCCACCCACAGCAGTGTCAAAGGCTTTATGTGCAAAGCTTTTGCCTTCTCTAATTAGCACTGTCTTTACCTGTTGTACTCACTATGCACAGAAACAGGAGGCCTAGTTATCACCATTGGAAAAGAATTCCAGGGCCTTCTTTTCGTGAAAGAAATTAAAAATCTTAATTAAAAAAAAAAATAATCCTGTCTCTTACTGTGGTCCCCTTGAACTCCACTTTCCTCAGGACATGAACCCTGGAAAGAGCTGTCTCAATGGAGAGATGGAGAAGTGATAGAAATGTTAAGAGATGTGGTGGAAGGACCCTCCAGCTGATGTTCTCAGCAGGTTACAGGCACGAGCATGGCTGAAGACACAGCTGGGGCTGGTCATTACATGGCAACCTGATCATCCCATCTGTTCTTTACTTACCCAGTTGTCCACTCAGAGCACAATGTCCTAACCTAGAGAGAAGAGAGTGTCAAAAGTCTTGCTAAAGTCAAGGTGAATGACAGCCACTGCTCCCCCCATCCATAGTGCCATACTTAGAGATGGCAATCACATTGGTCAGGCCTGGTTTACCCTTGGTAAAATGTTAACTGTTAACTGCATGTTAACTGTTCCACTCCCTTTCCTCTCCTTCATATGCTTTAATGTGCATTTCCAGAAGACTTGCTCCGGGAATTTTCCAGCCTTCTTAGAAAATGCCTGCTTCTCGTCTTTGCTGGCTTTCACTTTCACTTTTTCATTCCTGGGAGCCTGCCAGCATGACATCTGATTCAGGTTAATCTGCTTCCTGGGGCCCTTTTAACCACATACTGTCTGTTTTACCAAGAGATAAAGCAGAAAGCTGCAAACCGCTTTGCTTGCTGTGATGTATGAGAATGTGATATCAAAGGAGCACAGACCCAAACCAAGGAGATGTTTCAGACAACACCAAGCACAGCACTGAATGATAAGGGTCCTTGCACTGTGTCGCTGTCCTTGGCTTTGGGCTTTGTCCAGGAGCAGGAGACACTGTCTTGCAATAGCCTCTGACCTGCAGTTTCTCTTATGTGGCTTTGCCTTTAATTTTGGCCCCTTGTGGGCTGAGGAACTTTAGCACCGGCAGTCTGAGGGGACTTCTAACAGGATGCCAGCAAACATATTTTGGGGCTGTAGAAAAGATATTAGGGGATGGATAAAGGAAGGGTCAGAGGTGGGGAAATGGAAGGAGCAGGGTGGCCTGAGGAGAAACGTGTGTGGGACTTCACTTCCTGGTGAAAAACTGCAAACCCTGAGAAAACCAGCCACGGAATGAGATTAGAAATACCTGTGTTATCTTTAAGATACAGCCTAACCTCAGCTGGGCATGGGTCTTTCCCACGAAGTGGTTTGCTTTACCAGTGTCTGTGCCCTCTGTGGCCTGCAGCACAGTGCGCTTTAACTGTTGAAACCCTAGAGGAACCTGGCAGCTCAGAGGTGGAAGATTGGTTAAACGTTGATTAAAGATTAAAGTTTTGTCTAAGTGCCAGCAAGCAGGGTCACTGGGCCCCATGTGGGCAGGAACTGGAGAGGCCAGCAGCCTGCATGGGAAGGGTAACGGACTTGTGAAGCAGGTATTGAAGTGGCTGCAACATTTGGCCAGGTATCAGACATATTCCAGGGTTCAAAAGCAGGACCAGGCCAAACCCTGCAGAGCCCATGAGGTCTGGACATCACCTGGGAGAGCCATTTCTGTGTGTGTGGCTGTGTGCGTGTGGCAAGTGAAGATGGTTCAGATCCAAGGGGCAGCTACTGCATAGGGTATCTCAGCATGGTACCTATGCAGCTACTGCGTGGGTATCTAATGCTGGTTTCTGGGCATGTACATCACACCTATGTGTTTGTGGATTTGTTTTTGTGTGTAAATGGGTCTGTGTGCCAGCAGCTGGAGCAGGGTTGGGGCGTCAGGGGCTTGCTTGCACCGATGTCAACACCAAGGAGGGCAGTAGGTTGGTGTGGGTGAGCCAGGAGGGGCTGTACCAGCAGTCCATGTCTCCTGGGGGGATGGTTTGGGGTTCATTTGTCAGGATTTTATTTTTGATCTGAGTTTTTTTCCTGCTAACCCTTCTTCATGAATTCTTTCTGCTTTTTTATCCCACTTCGACTTTTTGGAGAAAGCTTCCATCAAGAATGCAGTGTTTCTTTGGAAGATCCCCTGTGAAATTATGAGGAAAAGAAAATGATTTAGAAACGCATCTTTATGAGAGTTGAAGGAAGGAATGACATGGAAATGTGCTCAAGTCTGTGATAACATCATCTGAGACAGCAACTTTGATTGCTTGTACACATTTTCTTTAGGGGTTTGGACAGTAGCCAGCACTAAGTCTTGGCTTGCACAAGCATCTCAGCATGGCTTTTCTCATCAGATTAAAATGACGTGGTTCCTTGAATTATATCAATCCCTTTGTTGCTTACCATTAAAGGCAGAATCTGTTCACAACACTGAGGGATTTTCCTGTTCTTCAACCAGTTTTGCACAAATTCGTGAGTTAAGCCGTTTGCAATTTACACTGGGGCACGGAATTGAGGCAGGGCTTTAAGGTCCCTTCCAGCCCAAACCGTTCTGTGATTTCATGATGATGGCTCTATGATGTTGGCATACATTAATTAGTCCAATAAAAGGAGCTGCCACAAGAGTCCAGCAGCCAGTGCGCTTCCTTACATGATTCCTTTTGTCTCCTTTTCAAGAAAAAAGACAACTTTAGGTTCAGATGAGAAGTTTTCTAAAGGCTGATATTTCAGTTTCACATAATCATTGACAGGAGCTTGTTCATGCCTTATGAAAAATGCTATATTTGTTCACTGCTGTCCTCAGAGCCTTCCTTATGTTGTTATTCCTTAAGCTGTAGATGAGGGGATTGACCAGTGGAGTCAGAACCGTGTAGCAGACAGAGAACACTTTGTGGAGGTCTCTCAGCCTGTTTGACTTTGGTACCAAGTACACAACCATCAAGGTCCCATAGAAAAGCGTCACCACAGTGAGGTGGGAAGAACAAGTAGAAAAAGCCTTATGCCTTCCTGCGGAGGATGGGATCCTGAGGACAGTGTTGCTGATGTACACATAAGATAGGAGTGTCAAGAGAAACAGGGGTAGTGTCAAAAGGGAGGCCAAGATGAATTCTACAAGCTCAATACAATGGGTATCACTGCAGGAGAGCTTTACCACTGGTGTGAAGTCACAGAAGAAATGATCGATCTCATTTGGGCCACAGAACGTTAGCTGTGGCATCAGAGAGGTGACTGTGGCACTAGCCAACAGCCCACTAGCCCAAGAGACACTTGCTAGCTGGAGGCAGCACCGGTTATTCATTATCGTTGTATAATGTAATGGTTTGCATATCGCGATGTACCGGTCATAAGACATGACAGTCAGGAGACAGCATTCTGCACCTGCTAGCCCAGTGAAGAAAAAGTACTGCAAAAAGCAACCCTGAAGTGAAATAGCGTACTTGTTTGTCAGGAAATTCGCCAGCATTCTGGGCAGGATGGTGGAAGTGTAACAGGTCTCCAAGAATGACAGATTCCCCAGGAAAAAGAACATGGGATTGTGAAGGTGATGATCAGTCACAACCAGCACCATGATCAGGAGGTTCCCTAACACAGTTGTAATGTAGATCACTAGAAACATCAAGAAGAGGGTAAACTGTACTGCCGGGATACTTTGGAAACCTAGAATGATGAATTCCACGACGGCTGTTTTATTCACTTGCTCTGTTCTCATGACTGTAACAGTTATAGTAAAGTCTTTAACATAAAAACTTAATCTGCTTTTAAACTATTATTCAGATGTTGAAAAATAAAATAAAATAAAGGAAGTTGCTTTGCAGGCTTCATGTGAAATGAGAAGGATCTGTGCCTGGTACTGCACACTCTCAGTGAATGCCAGGGACCCGACTTTCTTTGGAGATTTGGAAAAGTCAATTTGCAGTGAGTATTCAGAGAATAATTTCTACACTCACATGTATTTGCTTTGAATTTCGACCATAGATTGCATCTTGTGCAGTGGAAATGTTTAATTTTCTTGTGGCTTTCAGTTTCATTTCTTGAGATGCTGTTTTCCTGTAAGAGTCAAGTGTTTATTGACTGGAGCTTATCACGATTTCCCAAACATAAAACAACCATGTTTGAGGCCAAGTAGATAGCAATGGAGGTAATAAAGTTATTTCTCCTGTTACCAGCTTGGAAAGATAAAAGTATTTAATGTTCAGCTTTTACTGTATTTTCTGGTATATAAAGCTGGTTTTAAAGATATTCAGTGGGCATAAGTAAGTCCTGCTTATTGGTTGCTTTTATCTGAACCAAACCACCTCTTCTGTTCAGAGATCCTTGGAAAGATCAGCTGTGGCTAAGAAAAGTAAAAAAAAAAAATCGATTTTATTACATGACCTACAAATATTTTTATTTTCAAAAACTTTTATTTTTCTTGCCAGTATTTTATTAGCATCAGAATAATGACTCCTTTTTTTTATATCCTTATTTTTAAAAAAGCAAGTTAATTTCAGTTCATTGAAAATGAAAAAAGTTAATTTCAGTTCATTGAAAATGGTTCCTGGTATCTTTTTGCCCTTTTTTTCTTCCTCATAAGTTTTATGAGAAATGGGGAAGAACTAAAATGACCTGTTTTTCTCTCTGCACGAGGCAGTTGAAAATGAAAGAGGTTTTTATGTTTTAAACCAGGATGTTTTCGTAAGGAAGGAAACTAAGAAAAGGCAAAACGATGCAGAAAAGTATTGTAAATGCAGAAGTGTAAAATGACCTTTCCCACTCCTATCTGTTTCCCAAGAAAAATCTAACACAGCTTTTCCTCTTTAATTTTTGGTCTTGAAATAACTTACCGTGTTCACTCATTTCCCATTTCTTGGTGGATGGGTGTAGGTAGCGCAGAACATCACCAGGCTTTCACCATGTCATATTCAAAGACTGTTACGAAATCTTATGAGACTTTCCTTCTTCATCTTTTGTACAGTCCTTCTACCTGCTCAGTAAATAAGCCTCCCTATGCCTGGAAAGCTCTAGATTGATTCGTGATTCATGTAATTTTTCCCTTGGGGAAAAAAAAGCAAAACCTGGCATCTCCCTTCATCATTTGCAGAATAACTCCCTTAGCACTTCTCCTAGAGGCATTTAAAACTGGGGCTGTGGGAGGCTCTGAAGAGTAATGTTTCTTTTCAGACAATAAGAAAGTTTTAGAAGGTCAAAGAACTGCCTTGAGAGTAGAATGTTAAGGAGACAAAACACTTCTAACTTCCATTTTTTTGCTACTTATTTGCCACTCCAGAATGGTGAGCATCTCATCCAGGTCCTCTGTCTTATCTACCAGACCTCTTCAATTGTCCCATGTCATAATCATAGAATCATAGAATAGTTAGGGTTAGAAATAATGTGTCTAAACTGGCAATAGCTGCCTTTGTAAGAAAATGAAACTTGCTGTACCTATTTAGATCCTATGTATAGGCAACAGAGTGACAGACAGTGCAGGACACAATTTCTTGCCTGGCTGAACAGGCATACAGATGGCAGGGGATAGGAACTAGATGATCTTTAAGGTCCCTTCCAACCCAAACCACTGTATGATTCTATGAAATATAGGCACTACTCAAAGTAGATATCTCAGTGTACAATTCACCTCCATAGAAAATGCCTCATGTTACCCATTTTCTACAGATGTCTGTGCCAGTACATGAAGCTCTAAGAACTCTCCTGCAGCCTTCTTGAGGAGTGGTTCAGGTCATTGTGTTTGGCATAATTTGCTTCTCAAGGAACAGAGCATCTCCACACAAGTCCATGTGCAACACAGGTAGAAAGATGAGCCCATTCTCTAGGACCATACAGCTACATGCAGCCTTTCTGAACGTGGTCATTCGCTGACTAACAAACCCTTCCTGTGAGAACATGAAGAAACTGAAGTGATACTGGGAAATAAAGGGTTAACATTGTGCCTGCTTGCTTAAGCAGTTGCTGTGCTTGGTGAAGCAGAACTGTAGGAGTCAAAGTTGCCAGAACGGTGAAGCAGAATTGCAGGAGTTAGAGCTGCTAGGCAGAATTGTAGTAGATAAGATTTATAGCTTAATATTTAAGACATTCTTGTTCAAACAGTATCTTTAGAAAGAAAAGGAACAGAAGATAGCCAGAGTAACAAAATTTACACACTTGACAAGTTTCTGCTTTCAGATACATAAAACTGGCTTGTACCGAACCTGAGGTCTGCACAGGAGCCGAAACCCTACTGAGTCTGTGTGAAAGCAAGAGGTTACTCACGGTGATGAAGAGGAACTACAGGCCTTCATCCTCACGACCCCCTAACGACCACCACCAGGAGGCACTGCGCAGGTGCACCAATGGGACGAATGCCAGAAAACTAATTATAATACTAGATGGGAATAGGTTTTGCATATGTATTAGGTGTGAAGCAATCTCACGTTTAGGTAATCATTATAAGGAATATAAGCGAACTGAGCGGCAAAGGGGGGCGCGCATGCTTTTGGAGGAGAAGCCCCCATGCGCCTCAGCGCTGAATAAAGCATCCCTATGTTACAACTCTAACGAGTTGTGGAGTCAATCTGCGTATCAGTTTGGTGAGCCAGCCAGGAGACCTCTGCTTGGCTGCAGGATCAGGGGAGGAGTGGACATCCTAAGCGTCCCAGGCCGCTTGCCTGGAGGAGCTCTGCTCCTTGTCCGCTCACTGCGGGGGCAGACACCAACCTCTGTGGGCTGCAGAAAAACGGCATGCTTGGGATTTAGGTGTGTAATTTAGGGGGCCTATAAGTCATATGCGTGGCCTGGGGCTGCTGGTAAGGTGTGCAGAGAAGTCTGGTGCACAGCGTAGTTCCCCTTGGCAGGTAGGCCTTGCAAGCAGGGGACTCGCCGACCGATAGAGTGGCTGCTAGCGATCCTGAGGGTGGATCGGGTGAGTCCGGGTTATCGCCGCATCCCAGGGTTTTGGGAGCCAGGAAGGACCTGCTACTGGCTGTGTCGTAAGCAGGAGAAGGGTAAGCGGAACCACTGTGTGAGTGTGTCTGTGGGATCCCGTGTCTGAGTGTTTTGTGTGGCTGAGATGTGGCATAGCTATGAAGCAAGTGTGGAGTCCTGATCCATGGTTCTGTGTTCTCTGCGAGGAGAGCAGCCGGAGACGGACGAAGCGTATTTGTCTTGTGCTGTGTCTAAATGTTTTGTGTGTGTATATGTCTGTTGTTGGTGTTAAAGATTGCAGTGTTTAAGCGGTGGGGGAGGAGTAGATGAAAGTAAACCGTGACTAATGGGGGGATTGAGAAGAGTTCCTTCTCTGCGCCCCAGTGGCTGTATAAGAGAAGTATAACCTCTAATATTTGTGGTCCTATTCTTGAGACCTGGACTTTACACTCAGAGAATTACAGCCTCACATATGGGTGCATAATAACTTAACCTCCCATGAGCCAGAGCAGGTAAGAAGAGGTGGAGAAAAGGAAAGGAAGAGCAGTAAATGGAAGGCTATAGGGAGAACTGTCAGGGGGAACAATGACTGCATATCATCCTCCTTCCTTGCTCTTTCTTAGTTTTGTAGTCTAGACAGTAAAAGAACATAGGTATGGCACATGTTTGGAAATGTTGTTAAAGTTTCCTTCTTTGGCATCCCCCGGAGCGTTAGGGATGTTCTGAACCACTCATGCAGGTAAGAGCGATGGTTCTGTGCAGTCACACTTCCTTTACTCTCAACACTTACACTGCAAGCGAGGGACAACATCCTGTCCTGGGGCAAGGTAAAAGCAGCAAAGCCCAAACACCTCACTATCACCCAGAAAAAATAGGCTTATAGGAAAACCTGCCTCTTTTCAAGGGTGTTAAGTGATGTCTCTGCAAGGAAAATAAAACCTTTGAAAGACAGAGATGAACAGAATTCAGAAATAACTGGAAAAAGAAAAAATTCACCCCCATTTTCCCCATGGGAATACAGGAAATCACCTCATTCTCCAGCTAGATAATGTACAAACCTTATTAGTAAAAAGAGAAGATATTTGCCCTATGCTGTTTGCTACAAAAGCAAGTTATCAAGATGATAACTGCAACAATAGTAAGAAGTAATATCATTGCTGGTGTGACTGTTCAGCAATGCAGGGAGAAAGAGAAATGAGAGTAAGAGAGGCATTTTAAAGATATGGAATCCACTAAGAGTCATTTCAGCTTACTCCTCTGTTAGGCACTTGTTGAAAGCAATAAGGTCCTGTTGAGCCTCCTTTCCTTAAGACTGAAAAAAATCCACTGATGGAGCAGCCATAAAGGCAAGCCAATGATAATGGAAAAAATACCACACAAAAAAGGTTAACTGCTTATCTGGGGGGCCAGGATATCCTTGATATACTTGGCTCAGAGCCTGCGATAAATACAGAACAAAGAAAACACACTAACAAACCAGCCTTCTGAGAAAGCAGAAGGCAACACCTAAAGTTCCCGGAAGTTCCAGCTATTTACACTGCTTACACCCATTTATGTATCTACACCAAAAGTATAAATGCAAATTTTCAACCAAAGCGCTCCTCTGTGGGTGAGATCTTCCGTAAGGACAGGACCTGTCTGACGCTGGACTCTGTGGCACGGATCATCTTTGAAGTGAGACCTTTCTGACACTGGGTGGCTCCAGCCCAGGCTTTGTTTGGTGAGTGCCATACCGGTAACACCTCAAGCAGTATATGTATGGTATATGTAGAGATGTGGAGAGATTGCAGGAGCTGAGCCTGTTTAGTCTGGAGAAGAGGAGGCTGAGGGGGGATTTTATTAGTGCATAAAAATACCTCAAAGGCCAGGAGGATGGTGCCGGACTCTTTTCAGTGGTGCCCAGTGACAGGACTAGGAACGATGGTGTTCTGGGTTCAGCTGCCCAGGAGCAGGGGGGAAGAAGGGGAGAGTGAGCAAGTGGCTGTGTGGTTCTGAATGACCAGCTGGGGTGTTCAACCTGTATCAGGAAGCTCCCGTTTTCCCCTTTGGAAGCAGAATGTTGGAAACATGAAAGGGCTTTTTTATATATGTTATAAAATCAGTCTGAGTCAGGTCAGCAGTGACAGATAGAGGTTGTATAGCTGTCCAGGCTAATGATAGTCTTTGGATATACACAATATTCATAAATTCTTTTGACATCCAACAGTTCCTTGTTCATATACCAGTATTCCATGGAAGTTGCAGCACTACTGACAGTATTGACAATGTGTAGCATCAATCATTGATCCTAGGTGATGACTAGGATGGTGCAATATATAAAATACAAAATTACTCAGTCCTTTTAAGCACTTGAGTTGGGGGATTTTTGTTATTTTACCTTGGAAAAGGGCAGTAGGGAAATAACTTCAGCTCCTTTTTCGTTTGAAAGTTATTCTGAGCTAAGACATTGCTGTGCATTCCATTTTCACTAGGTTTCCAGGAGGTAAAGACAGACATCTCAATGGCTGCCAAGGTATGCTCTTTCTACTCTGGGTATCCCCTCTATCTCCTAATCGCTCTCCTGGCTGCTTAATTTTCCACATTCTAAGGCACTTGTGTCATGATTGTTTTATAAAATGGATGTTCTAAGTACTTCATGCTAATATTACTCTGCAAAGTATGTGTAAGGAGTAACTCCATTTCTTTGAGACTTCCTCTCTAGATGATAGCTAAAAAGGATCCTCCAGGACAAGAATCATAACAAGGGTAGGATTCATCTCACCTGACTTCCAACATCTGTGTTATAGGTTTCTACAGATGAGCTAGTCCTGAATGCATTTCATACTGGGGTTAAACAGGCACCTCTGAAGTATGATTTAGGAGTAGTACCCTGGAAGTGCTTCTTCCTCTCCAATGATATTTAAGGATGTTCAGAGGACTGCAGAGCTCAGGCTGAAGATGAAGATTCAGCAATGAAGATTCACCTGGAGAAGTTGCATTTCTTTAGGCTACCTTGAACATTAGATCAAGTTAGACGTTTGCTTCTAACTGACAAATATGCCATTGGCTTGAGTGCATCAACAAGTAAATTTCACTGAGTTTCATAAATTGCTCCAACAAGAGACTTGCGTTACCATCGTGGGAAACACTGACAGGCACAACAGTGTTTCCTCTAGAAAAGGGGCTGGGTTTTCAGTCAGGAATTTGGAGGCTTTTTAATCATGAAGAACTAAAATTTTTGTTCCTCTTCCTTCCTCTTCACTTTGTGGTTTGGTTCATAAATACTGCCTCTTTCATCCTGGATTGAGAGTGTAAGACAGAAATGACTTCCCTGGTCTTTATGCTGCTGTTAAGTATTGAGTCAGAGTGAACACTGGCTAGTCTGCAGAAATCTGGGTCCTCTGGATGGATCCCATAATAGTGATGTTCTTGCAGTAAGAAATATTCTTACCCTGAATGTGTTTCACTTTGTATGCCAGGATGAAGCCCCTTGGGTCCGTCAGTCTCCTGAGCTCTCAGAAGGTGAGATAAAAGCCACCCATAAGAGAAGAGAAAAAGTACTGATGTGTCTGGAAGCACTTGGGATTCGTTGTGAGCAGGTAAGCACTGACATGCCTAGTAAGGAAAGGAGGTATCAGTCCAGTGATGTGAGTGGCACACAGAGTGCCATTTGGAGTGAGGTCTAGACCCAAGGAAGCATCATCTTTTGACACAAGTTTTCCAGTGCAGGCTTTCTTTCCACTGCTGGGAAAAAGATTCAGGCTGGAAATTTCCAAGGAGACAAAAGGGAGCAGGAGAATTCAATCAGTGGAATTCCCAGCTGCAATTCCCATATCTATCAGCTAATTAATCATTTGCGTGCCTTTGCATATCTCTTGTATGCATGTCATGACAGTCAGGAATGGTGCCCGAGGACTGGAATACAGCAAATTTCACCGCAGTCTTCAAACAGGGCAAAAATAAGGAGCCAGGGAAGTACAGGCCAGTTAGCCTCCATCCCTGGAAAGGTGATGGAACAGCTAAACCTGGAGGCAATCTCTAAGCACATGGAAGACGAGAAGGTGGGAGACTGTTCAGGAAACATTATGTGTTGTCAGTAGCTTTGTAGCCACAAATCGAAAGCACAGCACCCTATGAGCTGCTTTGTAGAAAGTTGACTCTCTTCCACCCATGAGCAGTACTGCATGTTCTTGAGAATTTCCTGTGGCTGGCTCTCATAGTTTTACCTTCCTGTTTTGGAAATAAAACCCGGTTCTTGGTGACAAAAAGGTAACAGATGTGACATCTACAGGAACACAAGGGGCACTGCTCAAAATGCGTGTATTTTGAAGCTACAGCACAGGAGCACAGCGCAAATCTCAGCGTAATATAAAAGAGAACCCATTCTGTGACTGTGAGGTAAAGGAAAAAGTAGCGGAAAAGAGGCAGGTTATGGAATGTGTCTTAGAACAAGGAAGCGTGTCAGGTGAGAATTGCGGTAGCCTTTATCCTTGTCTGTTTAAGCCTTTGGTCTAAAAGAAATGTGTTTTCTGTCCACTTTCCAGGATAAGGTGCCTAATATTGTTGTTCTGGGATCAGGTGGGGGCCTGCGTGCCATGATAGCCATGCTAGGAACCTTGGTGGAGCTGAAGAAGCAAAATTTATTGGATGCTGTCACGTATCTGTGTGGGGTGTCAGGATCCACTTGGTAGGTCTGGTGCGATCATGAATGCTTTTCCTGCTCTATAGATTCAATAGCAATTCAACACTGTTGTCACTGTTCATAACTCCCTGTTGGGCTCACAGTGGAGTGGTAGGTGAGATATGTGCCTGTGCAATTGTGGGAGGCACAGGGAATATTTGTGACATTAACTACAGTCCTACAAGATTGACCTTGGATCCCCAAAGAGGGTGAAATTAGCACCTCAGTGGTGATTCTACCGCAGATAATGTACCTGCATGTGTATTCAGATCAAAAAGCAAAGCCCTGTTTGATTTCCCCTATGCTAGAAACAGGACTTTTCCTTCTCTTTAAAAGGTGCATGTCCCTCCTGTATGAGAATCGGAAATGGTCAGAAAAACTGATGTCCCTAGAAGAGGAACTGTATAAAAGCCTCAGTAATTCCTCCTGGCATATTGCAAAAGCAGAAAAGTACTTAGAGGAGGCATCAAGAGATGAACTTTACTCACTGACCGACTTCTGGGCTGCCTGTTTTGTATACCAAATAGTGCAGCAGGTAAGAAGCTAACTGCAAATGCCTTGGGATTGTTTTGAAGGTCTTGGAGTAATTGCAACTGGATTTGACCTTGGTGGGTGTTTGTTTGAGTAGTAGTATAAATTGAAACAATACTTTGGATCATGACATCTTATCTCTAGATATGAAAAAGCAGAAGCAGTTAATCCAGCTCCTTGGTTAACCCAAGTCTTCTAAGCGGGGGTGTCCTTAGTGCTATAGCAGGGGGGAAGGGCATTTTATGTTCCTTCAGAAGTCCATGCTTATTTTTCAGTTTGTTGAGAATGAGCTGGCTGATCACAAGGAGACCTCAGAGACTGGAATAAATCCGTACCCAATTTATGCAGCAGTGGACAAAGAAAAACTGAGTGAAAAAGGTGGAAATTTTCCAGGTAAAATATGGGCATCTAGTCTAACTGTGTCTTAAATACCATGTATTGATTCCTTTCACTTAATAACAGGCATTAACTCTGCTGATACCTGATTGCTGACTGTGAGCCTATGTCTTTGTTTATTGAGAATGGAGGAAAATATGCTTCCATGGGCTTCCATGTGATTCAGCCACTTCCACGAAAGGTCTGAATCACATTCTGTAAAAGTGGCTTTCATGGTAGGATAAGGTGAGCCATCCCTAGAATAGTATGGGGTAACAAGAACATATCATAGAGCAGGTGGTAACATGCTTACAACTTAGTTTATTCTCTATATGCCAGTTCATCTTTGTCAGCTAACATCAGAGGACTTTAGAAAGGAAAAGGAAAACAACTATGATGCTACTTCGGGACAGTGAGGTCAAATGTGTTTCCAAATACTGAATGAAAAAGTTGTTTCATTTTTCTCAGGGACCTGGTTTGAATTCACTCCCCATGAGGCTGGATATAGTGCCTTGGGTGCTTTTGTGAGTACCAGATACTTTGGAAGTGAATTTGAGAAGGGTAATCTGAAGAAAAAGAAGAAGAAATGCATTTGTTATATGCAAGGTGAATTTTCCTAATTCTGCTTCATAGAAAAAATGCAGGTAACAAGAATGCATCTATTATTCCATGAATGCATGCATAATAGTATATGAATTCTGGAGAGCAGTTCTTCTCACTTCACATGTTCAAACTGGAACATCTGAATCATAGAATAGTTCGGGTTGGAAAGGACCTTAAGATCATCCAGTTCCAGTCCCCCTGCCATGGGCAGGGACACCTCACACTAAACCATCTCACCCAAGGCTTCCTGCAACGTGGCCTTGAACACAGCCAGGGATGGAGCATTCACAACCTCCCTGGGCAACCCATTCCAGTGCCTCAGCACCCTCACAGGAAAGAATTTCCTCCTTATACCCAATCTAAACTTCCCCTGTTTAAGTTTTAACTCATTGCCCCTTGTCCTGTCACTACAGTCCCTACTACAGAATGCTTCTCTACACTCCACTGTCCACACTGACCAGTTTATATGGTTGTTATGAGAAGTTAGAGACTTATACTGTAAATTACTGAAGTTAATAAAATAGTTCCAACCCAGATGCTGAAACGTTCTATCATCCCAGCATGTTCGCTTTGCAGGGAGAGATGCTTTGCAAATTAGAGACATCCTCTTGTGAGGACCCGAAGCTCCTATTTTGCTTCGCTCTGTTTCAGTCTGGGACCAAACCTCTTTCGTTCCCTGCCTAAGCAGTATAGCTGCAAGTGTCCTCTCACTTGTTTGTGACACAACTGAACATCGCTTGTGTTTAATGACTTCATGCCCCATTCTTCTCAAAACGCACCCTTGGCACCATGCTATAGGGGAAAAGAATAAAAGAAAAACAATCTAGTTCTTACTGTTTAATTCCATTAAGGCAAAGTGTGCTACTGAAAGACAAACTTGGGTTGAATTCTCAGCTAAAGCAAGCACTGTGAACACATTTTCTTTTTGTTGTTTCAGGCTTATGGGGGAGTGCTTTAGGAAGCATGGAAGAAATTATCAAGTTCATAGGAGGTACTACATTTTTTGTGTTGCTGGTATGCTCAAAGGAGTTGTTGCACCAGTGGGAAAGTCTGGAGCAAGGAAGCCCCTTATCCTTAGGAGCATGTAAACAAATTGCATCAGGTTAAGGAACATGCAAACAAGTTGGACATATGCAAATCCATGGGACCTGATGGGATACACCCATGATTGCAGGTGGAGCTGGTTAATGTCATTGCTAGGCCACTCTCAATCATTTTTGAAAGGTCATGGCAATAGGGAGAGGGTTCTGATGACTGGAAGGAAGATGCCATTCCCATCTTCAAAAGAGCAGGAAGGGGGATGTGGGAATTTTCAGGTCAGCCAGCCACATCTAAATCTGTGGGAAGGTGATTTAGCAAATCCTTCTGGAAAGCCTTTCCAAACACATTAATGATAAGGGGCCAGTGAGGAATAGTGGTGTATTACAGGACTGAATTCTACATCTAATACTTTTAACATCATCATTAATGACTTGGATGATGGGACCAAGTGCACCCTCAGCAAGTTTGCAGGTAACATGAAACTGGGAGGACTGGATTGGTAATCTGGAGAAGTTGTGACAGGCTAGACAAATGGACCAACAGGAACACCATGAAGTTCAACAAAGGGAAATCTGAAGTCCTGCACATGGAGATGAGCAACCCAGGAACCAGGACAGGTTGGGGACTGACCAGCTGGAAGGCAGCGTTTCAGATCAGTCCTATGGATCTTGGGGAACACTAAGTTGAATGTGAGACAGCAGTGTTCCCTTGCAGCAAAGAAGGCTAGTGATATCATGGGCTGCACTAGGATGAGCACCACCAGCAAGTCAAAGGAGGTGATTCTTCCCTTTACTCAGCACTGGTGATGCCACACCTGGAGTACTGCATCTGGTTCTGGGCTTCCCAGTATGAGAAAGATATGGGCTTACACAGGGACTGGAGCATCCTTCATATGAGGCCAGACTGAGGGAGCTGGGACTATTCAGCCTGGAGAAGGGAAAGTTCAGGGGGATCCTGTTCAATTTCTATGAATGCATGCATGTCATTTTAGATACTTACAACATTCTTGTGAACATTCGTATTACTCACTTTAATGTCTCTTTGTGAGTGAGAAAGAACTTCACAGGTGCTCTTCATGGATACCTTAGGATTCCTGCTTAAAGAGGTGACAAAACTGTCTAGAAATGCTTCTCCATTGAGTATAAATCCATGGTAGCATGAGCATGAACCATAGAAGTCCATGCCAGTACCACAGGTTCACAGATTGGAATATCATGTAGAATGTGGACTGATCTTCTCCACGTTAGATTCCTTATGATGTGGAAGTATCAGAGATGGTATCTTAAACTCTGAGGTAGGACACTATCAAAATTGCTGGAGGGATAATAAGAGATGACTGAGATGCTGTCAGGCATCTGAGACATCAAACGTGGATCTGTGAGTGATGAACAGAACCAGCAGGAAATAAGTACTCTTCTGGAGTGTCAGCCACGAGGCAAGTGGGATCCTCCAAGGCATCTGAAACAGCACTGTACATCTATGGTTAGATGCATGGCTGCTTTCCTGATGTCTTTCATTGGCAGGAAGGGGAAGGGGTATTTTATTGGAAGGAGTATTCTTATTTTAATCATCCTTTTATTTCTTCCAAGACACCCTAGGAAGTTTAATGCAGTTACGGGCCAGCGTCCTCTCCTTTGCGTTCGGTGAGTTCTTGTGTTTCTTGCTCTTTATTTTTTGTAGCTTTTTTGGGGGGGGTGCTTTTAATTTAGCATTCTTTTCTGCTGTGGAGGTGGTCAGTAACTAGAATGGGCTCCCCAGGGAAGTGGTTACAGCACCAAGCAATTTGGAGTTGAAGGAGCATGTGGATTATGCTCTTAGTCGTGTGATCTAGTTTTAGGTAGTTGATGAACCTTATGAGTCCCTTCTAACTTGAGCTAATCTATGATACTGTGATGCTGTGATGCTATGATTCTATGAAATGTTCACATGGAAAATGGAGATTTTAATGACTCTAAAATACAAAATAAATTCCTACAGTATTCTCTTGGTAATACTGGAAGAAATCACACCAGGCTCACTCAAATACTGTGAGGTGTCCCTGCCCGTGGCAGGGGGGTTGGAACTTGATGATCTTAAGGTCCTTTCCAACCCTAACTAGTCTGTGATTCTATGATTCTATGAAATCGTTATTACATTTCTTACTCCTTTATGTACTTATTTGTTTGTTTTTTTAAATTCAAAGTGGGAATGAAGTATTTGAAGCATATTAGATAATTCCCATTTACTCCAAGCTATATTTCTGCTCCGCCTCCTATTACTTTGTTTCGTGGAGTTTTTCTTCCAAGATGAACACAAAGGCCATGTGAATCCTGGTCTAGCTGCACATCTGTCCAGTTGCAAATGCTCAGTGTTAGGTGGTTTTACTGTCAAACAAGAAATACTATGGCACATGGTTCCTCTCACGAGCTTAAACAACTTCTTCAGGAGAAGAGAAGTGAGGTCAGTGTTTCTAGAGATTCCACTGAATGTAGAGACTACATCTTCACTGATTCATATATCAGTTACTTTATAATTTGATATCTGGTAAGATAAATTCCACTCTGATGTAACTTTCATCTTATCTTTCTTAGAAAGAAACCCAGATACCGCCATTGCTTGTCAGTCTCTTCTACTTCTGCTAGACCTTCAGTTGTGTGCTGTAAGTGGGAGTGATCCTAAGGAAGTCTTCGAGAAACTGATAAGTGTATTGTCAGGCAAGTGAATGATGCTGAGATTTCCTAGGACCTGCATTTTTACTCATCTGGTTTTACAAACAGTGATTCCTTTATTGTGCATTTGCATATTTTCCTTTTCTTCTTTCCTCTCTTTTTAAGGAGACGGGGGACAAAGTGAATCCTTGAAACTGTGCATTGCAATACGTGATTCTTGGGCAAAGAAAACAAGGGAGGAAAGAATGGCGAGCTGTGCTGAGCTGGGCAAACAGATAGAAAAGGAATTTGGAGGCAAGTACTGTATATTAATGCCTATCATTAACAACACCCTCTCCACCTCAGGTACAAACACCTACCTGCATAAAAAGTTACCTTGAAGGTTGCCATGAATTTGTTTCTTTAATGTGTTGGTTTTGTGCTTTTTCTCCACTTGATCTTCCTCAGCGTATTTTGGGAAGGGAAGTTTTCCGGAAGGAGAGTTACCACCATCCCAAGCAGTCCTCCTAGGCAAGTGTATCTTATTTTTAATATCTTTTATTACTCTTTGTATTGTGCATGCTTTGAAAAATTCCAGCTTTGGAGTTTTATGAACTTAAATTCTGGTTCCTTCTGGAGTGAACCAACTAGTGCTCCAAGGTTAAATCTGGGTATTGCAGACAGGTCTTCCTCCTCTCCAATGCCTGTTCCAAGGAGTGTGTTCATGGATAAAGCCTGGATGTTCTCTGTCTGCACAGTCCAGTCCTCCAAACTCTTTTACTGTCCTGATCTCACATTCTCTCACAAGATCTTTTGATGCTATCATGGCTTTCACCTACTATACCCCACCTTGTACAGGTTGTGCAATTGGGTTGTAGCATGGTTCTTTATTCAGGTGGAAAGAAGATGAAGAGAAATAACAGTCCTTCTGAACCACAAGAATGATGTAAGAGGCCCAGAAAAGATCAGGCCTCTCTAATGTACAGCTCTGGTGCAACCAGGGCTGTTCATTACCTGTGAGCCTCAAGCGTGGTGAACATGTCAGCCGGTGTAGGGCCAGAGTCCTGGATAGTTTGTGCCTTGAAAGGCTTACTCAGATCTGTTTCAGCAGTACTAAGAGTCCATTGCTTAATGTTCATTATTTGAACTAGAGGAAAGCGTGGTTCTCTTCTGAAACACTCGGGCCTTGTCACTCAGGATGTCTGTACAGCATCTGCACATATGTTCTTCTACCACCATACATCTCCCCCAGGTTTTGTAACACCAGTCAAGAAGTGAAGTTCTCTGGATTTAACCATGTTCTGAATTGTATTGTCTCTCCCAGGCTCAGTGTGGGATGTCCTTAGGGTGGTGTATAAAACAGTCCAATGCGTGCTGACCTGGAAATGGGGAACAATTCATAACTTCTTCTACAAATGCTGTAAGAAAATCCAATTAAATAATGATCTATGGGGCAGAATGCATGGGGTATAGCAGAGCTTTTATGCTATGTTTGTGTGATGTTCAGCTGTCTTTGCCATTTTCCTTCTTAGTGATTTAGATAGCTTTTCAGGTTCCATTGCTCTCTTAACAGCATCCTATTATGGGCAGCAAATAAACTAGTCATAAACAACACTCTACTAGAATCCAGATCTGCAACATCATCGCAGATATATAAACTCAATTCTGTCACAGAAACACAGGCATCTAATGTCACACAGACTGTTGTCCCTGTGTACAGACTGGGACAACAGCATTGAGTTGGGAAACACAAAATGAAACCTATAGGACCCCTGTGTCGTTTTGGAGGAGAACCTGGAGGGCACAAGAATTAACCTAAGGAGATGGAACTGGACAGCTAAGTTTATGAAATCGAATTGTGCTCCTGATGCATGAGGAATATTTTTGGTCTCTAGATTCCATTGCCTGCCCTAGCTGTATGTTCAATTGTGATAACAGAAGCTTTGGCACCTAGTATGGAAGTAGAAAGCTGCACTTATCAACTGCAGTTAGGTGTTGTGATTTCTAGCTGGCTCATGCATTCATTTTTCTGCTCAATGATCTTCTTATGTTAAAGCTATGGGTGCATGGTTCCAGGTTTGACCTTGAAGAGCCCATTGGGAATTCTGATTTGCAATTGACCACAGTCAGAGAGAGGTGGGTCGGGAGGATGGGGACTCCTCTTGCCAGAATACAGCTAGACATCTGGCTGGGCAGGAGAGGCAAGGAGAGGCGGGTCTCAATACCTTTCTGAGATGCATCATCAGTGAAGACCAATAGATATTTTGGGGGCTGGTCATGTGTGTGTATATATTTTATACATTTGTATATATGTCTTTATGTAATCTCATTGCTTTCTTTCATTGGATTAGCTAACATGAAGCCCTCTTACCTGGTCGAAAACAAAATCATCTCTTTGATTGATGCTGGTCTGGCGATAAATTCTGCCTATCCTCTGGTACTTCGAGCCCAGCGGCAAGCAGATCTGATCATCTCCTTTGATTTCAGCTCTGGAGATCCTTTTGAGGTACACTCTTTGACAGGCAGTATTTACAGCAAAATTCCTCTTTGCCTTTGAGGAGGTCTTGTGTCAGGATCTGTAAGAATCTTGCCCAGTTTCCCTTTGTGTAGGCTTTTTCCTCCTAATATACTCAATTTCCTTTTATAAACAAGTTTCATTACAAATGAGGGTACATGTACAATCCTGTTTCTGTAATTGCTTCCATTTAAACATTCATGCCTAGGGGATGAGTTTAAGGAGCTTGAGTTAAAAAAGAACTTGCTAGGCTTGCAAAATGTTGTTGCTGTTTTGTATCATTCCAGAAAGATCTTGTGAAACGTTTGTCTTTTGTGACTGCAAGAGTCATCATGTCTTGAGCTACAACTTCACCTTTTCCCAAGAGTGCTTAAGGAAAAGTAATAAATCTGTATAATCTAAGCCCTGAGGCAATTTGGTGACAGAAATGCCAAAGTATCAGTTAGGAGTCTGTCTATGGGAGAGGCCAATCTGTTCTTAATGCCTAAGACCCCATCTTTTGCTGTGAAGTGCATTCTTTGTGGAGGGGCTGTTGGAATGAATCGTGTAATATGCCATTTACTCTGGGAAGCTTACATAAAGTGGCTGCTGTTCACAGGCCTTGTGCCATCTAAAGCAGACTATTGCAAACCCATCAGAGAAGAGTGAAAAAGACTCAAAGGTTGTTTCTTCTGAACTCCTGAACAGTTGGGAATAATACTGCTCAGGGAGACCACAGAACCTCATTTTGTGCAAACTCCCAACATAAAGCCTATCCCAGTCAATGCTTTCCTGCAAAGTTAAACCAATGTTAAAGTTAATGTGTGCCTCAAATCAGACAGGTTGTTGTCTCCCTTTGATGGTCAGATTCACATAAGAGACATGGGCAGTTCTTAGTTTTGCTGGAGTGGTGGAGTGTTGAATTTTGTAAGAGCTGTAGAGCAACAGGAAGGGTTGCTTTGGAAAATAAAACTTGTTCTGAAAGTTGAGGAACCTGGTGATGTCTCCAGATGATTTTATAGCCCCCAAATCCCTTTAATCTTACCATCTTCCAGTGTCTGCCCCATTGCCTTGCTGGGTGTAGCTGTAGTTTCTTAAACAAAGGTTCCTGCTAGAAGCAACCCCAGAAATGAGTGCCTGGTCTTCATTCATATTCTAGACTTAGCCTGTTCCTCAGAGAATTCTTGTGGAAAACTTAGACTTTAAAATAAAATATACGTTACAAATATGTATAGCCCAAGAAATTGTTCTGTAGCAATTTGTTTTATTACTGGAGATAGGACTGATTTATTCTTGGGGTTCAGAAAAAGCTAATGACAAAATGCTTACACAACTTCTCTGTGTGTCAGACTATCAAGAAAACGGCTTCATACTGCCAGGAGAACCACATCCCATTTCCCAATATAAAGGATCAGAAAATGGATGAGAACAACCCTTCTGATTGCTACATCTTCCGAGGAGACAAGTCATGCCCCACAGTCATGCACTTTCCACTCTTCAACAACGTGAATTGTCCTGGTAAGAGGCTGTATGCAGCGTTGTCTCTGTATTTTTGCATTTCATATTCTCAACATATATTCAGTGCCAAGCATGTTAGAGTCCTCCTTTATTCAGTGCTGCTGCTGCAAGTGGAGACAGAAGAGAAGGAGCAGGGCAGACTCTACGAAGAAGCTTGCACAGGCATTAATGTACTCACCCTCTAGATGTATGTCCTGAACTATAAGGATTTTACACTACTCTTGATTTGTTCTGTAAATCAGTGTGATTAAATTGTGGTCCTTCTACTGAAGAGCTGTTGGGAAGGCATTATATTTAGAAGCCACAGTATCCAAGCCTGGGATATTTACCACTGCTTCCCTTTATAGTTATTGGTGAGGAACAGTATCCCCCCCTCTCAGACACCTGATGAAACAGATATTGAAAGAGGTACCTCCAGACTATGACTGATGTCCTCCTCTCTCTTCACTGGCTATGGTAGGATCTAATATGGTGAAGAATTTGTATGTGAAACTTGCAGATGTTCAATGATTAATGCTTTTCTTGAAAGATCTTGCAGAAAGATCTTGCAGTTTTCTTGAATGATCCTGTGGTTTTCCCTTTGGCATTTACTTACATATTTTGTTGACCTATTTTCTAGGTAAAATAGAAGATTACAGAAAACAGTTTTCCACCTTTCAAATGTCTTTCCCAGGAGATGCCATCAAAGATCTTCTTAAGAAAGCACAGTTGAATGTATCCAACAATAAGGTTAAGATTCAGAATGAGATAATGCGGCTTGTGGCTTCCTCTCGTACAAATAAGTTACCAAAGTGAGGGGGTTTTTTCCTTCAGTGCAAGATGCTGGATTTATGAATCACTCCAAATGTAAGTTTTATTTTTTACGAAGATTTATGAAGCTCCAAATGGCTCCAAACTTACCCCACTGCACTGCTCATTTTGGACGTTTGCTGTGAGTTTTCACACTGTGCTTCCTACAACTATAACAGATTTCTCTATCATCTTAACTGCTTCTTGAAGTTCCTCTACAGACAAAAGAGCCAAGAAGATGCTCTTGGGAGTGAATTATTTGGCACATTTTAAATGTATTTGTGAGACTAAGATGGTCTGAGTTTCTGAAGGGCTGAAAAGGCTCCTTTAGAAGTGGCTGAGATGGACACACTGGTGTTTGCAAAGAAAGCCTGAAACTAACAGCCAAAAAAATCTAAAAATAACCACAAGGAAGAATAAGGGATGAAGAAGGAGAAGGAGAAAGAGGCTTTCCACAGAAGAGTAGCTCACCAGGCAGCACGACAGATGATAAAGAATTAGATGAATCTGTCTTAAAGGGAAAAAAGAGCCACTATAATTTGCTTTTGACAATGGAAGATGAATAATAGAAGAACCATGAAAGAGATGAAAAGTCTGATGGTCAGAGACTTACAAACCGTCCTGGTAAAACTAGGGTGTCTCTGTACAAGAGCAAGATGTCTGTCTATACCAACCAAACGTGAACTGATACCAGCCTCTGATTTGCTCATGATACTGGCTTTTCTAACCTCTTTCTTTATATGTATTTGTTGCTTATTCTTTTTTTTCCCCCCACATTTCATATATATCAGATTTAAACCTTATTGTTTATTAAATATGAGCTATAGCTTGTTCCTAATGGCAGACATATTCCGCTTTGTCCCACAGTGTACTGCATAATCCCAGTCAAAGAATGTATCTCTCATAATCTGGCATTGAACAACTGTATCTGTGACATTAAAAAAATCTCATTAATTAAACATCCTCCTCCTGGAAACCTTTCTTGTGCTCAACCCCCCATGGTAGGGGGGTTGGAACTGGATGATCTTAAGGTCCTTTCCAGCCCAAACCGTTCTATGATTCTATGTCATCTAGGCTCAGAAGCAGTCTCATCAATGTACATAAATACCTGAAGGAAGGGTGCAAAGGGGAGAGAGCCAGCTTTTCTCAGTGGTGCCTGGTGATAGGACCAGAGGCAGTGGGGACAAACACACACAGGAGAGTCTGTCTGACTTGAGCACTGGAACAGGGGATGTAAAACCTCTGCCTCTGGAGATATGAAAACCCAACTGGACATGGTCCTGGGCAACATGCTGTAGGTGTCCTGCTTGATCAGGGGGGTTTGACCAGATGATGTCTAGAATTCCCTTCCAAACTTCAGTGTTCTGTTTCCATGGTTCTACAAACCAGCTCTCCTCACACCCTGCCATGTAAGCGATGTGTCCCAGCAGTGCCATCAGCAAGGTGCCTAATTATTCCCTAAGCTGGAAGAGTGATGTAAAATAAAGGACTAACTGGAAGTATAAAATGTGCTGGAGAAAGGAGGCACAACTGATGTATTCCATGTGAGAAACAGGTAATGTGGGATGTGATGTAATTCGCGGGGTAGATGGCTCTGCTTCAGTTACTGGTGGTGTTCTGTTTGGGATGACTAAAGACAAGGGAGACATCGTCAGTGGGCTGGTAGCCTTTCCACTTAATGGAGTGAATTTCCAGCACAGGGTTCCTCTCATGCTAAAATAAAGACCTAGAAAGCTTCAGAAGGCAAGCATAGGGATTGTGACTTAATGGCTTTGAGCATGCTAATGGGAGTTTGAAGGCTTGAGATAATATAGAACTGGGATGATTTGCAGACTGCTTATGAAATCCTTGCTAGGATTCGTTGCTAGCAACAGATCATGTTTATTGGTGTTATTGTTGGCTTTTTGTTTTGCTTTCTTCTCCAGGAGTATTTATTAAGGTGAATTAATGACATTTAATGAGAATAATTTATTAGCATTTTCTGTTTTGTCAAGGAATACCATCATTTGCTTTGTTTGTGGACAACAGTTCTACTGTTTGTCACTGTTGCTAAAACGTGATGAGGAGACCTTGGCAGCTCACTGCCACCTGGAAGATGATGCAGACTGGTAACCTGGAAGAATTCAGGAGCTTCTTGTTGTTATGTTACCATAAGTATAGGAAAATGGGATTAAAAGTAAAGTGCTAAAATTTATATTTGTCTGCTAAGGCAGGAAGCCAGCCTGGAAAACAGAAATTGGGCAGAAATGATAAGAATTGGGCAGAAATGCTAAGGTGTGCTTGCAGATCCTGACCTGTGGTGGCACACAAATAAGACAGGGGAGGATCTAAATCTTATCTCATCATGTAGGGTCTGTATCTTCAGGGGTGAACACACACCGGTGCTTCTGACACTCATCTTAAGATTGGCAGAAAGTCTCTCTGAAGGTATTGAATCCCTGCCTTCGACAATGCAGCAGTAGTGATGAATGCAGTACTTGGACAAGTAGTGATCTGCAGTCAGGTGCGTTAAGAAACGCTTCAGGTTTCTATGGAAAAGGGTATGCCCTCTCCTTTGGAATCTGCCCTCAAAGGCATTCTAATGCATGGCCTCTGGGGTTTGTAATGGGTACTATTAAGAAAGGTACTCGGATTCTGACAGGTATTAATTAAAATGCCTTTTTTTGAACTAATGTGAAAAGGGAAGGGGAATAGCATAGATAATGTGTCCCTTCAGATGCTTGGAACCTGCAGTCATGACACACTGGATGGATTTCTAGCCAAGGCACAGCCCGTTACACGGATCCTGTCTGCGGAGTAATTCCCACACATTATGGTATTTAGAACTCTTACCATTTTTTCTTAAGAACTGAAAAATGCTGTGCATGATTTCCTCTGTCTGGTAAAAGGATATCCACACGAGAGCATGCTGCTTCATTTTAAGAACGTGGACAAGAACCTGCTTGGCAGTGTCATTATTGGTGCCAAGTGGGAGCTGCCTAAAGGCTGCTTCATTATGCTAAGTTTGTCCTGTGGCCAGTTGATATGGGCAGCACAGGCAGGTGCCTACTCAGGTCAACTGTTATGTAAATCACTCACTGTTGGCTTACAATAGTCTTCTAGTCAAGACAACCACATGTAACCATCTGATTAGTCTTTTGCTTATGCTTCTTGGAACAACTTTAACATTTTTTTTTAACTATTTTTTAACTATTATTCAGCTTTCAGAGACAAATCAGACAACAGCAGAGTTCATCCTCTTGGGACTTGCCAGCAACCGCTTTTCGGAGATCATCCTATTTGCCATTCTCTTTGTTGCCTTCCTCCTGATCCTCCTTGGAAACATCACTGTCATTACCATCACACTGGTGGACCAACGCCTCCACATCCCCATGTATTTCTTTCTCAGGAATTTCTCCGTTGTGGAGATTTGCTTCACTTCTACCTTCATGCCAAGAACTCTCTACAGCCTCCTCACAGGAGCAAAAACAATTTCCCCCTCTGGATGTTTCCTTCAGTTATCCCTCTTCTTCATGCTGGGTATCTGCACTTTCTTCCATGTAGCTCTCATGTCCTTTGACCGCTACATGGCCATCTGCCGCCCTTTGCATTATGCTACCTTCATGAGCAATAGGTTTTGCCTCCAGCTGGTGCTGGGCTGCTGGGTAATGAGTTTCTTCTTGATGATCTCCCCACTCACAGTTATAACCCAGTTGCCATTCTGCGGGCCTGGTGTCATCAACCACTTCTACTGTGATATAGCACCACTGCTCCAGCTGTCCTGCGCAGACACAGGCGTCATTGAGAAAGTAGTGCTAGTGACTGGTGTTCTGATACTACCTGGTACCTTGTCAGTAACTGCTTTTTCCTATGCATACATCATCCACACGGTCACACACATCCAGTCTTCAGCAAGCAGGAAAAAAGCCTTTTCCACATGCTCCAGTCACCTCATCGTGGTCACTATTCTGTACAGCAGCTCCATCTTCAGGTACATCCGACCAAGGCAACGGGGCGGGAGGGATTTTGACAAAGTTGTATCTTTCCTTTACTGTGTGGTTACTCAGCTGTGTAACCCTTACATCTACACCCTTCAAAATCAACAAGTCAGACAGGCCTTGAACGATCTAGTGGCAAGGTGTGTTGTAGGCTCTGATGATATTCTGAAATCCAGACATACAAAGCAGTGAGTGCATGTGAATGACTTCCTAGCAGAGCCCCCAGTACCCTGGGGAGGTGAGGGAGAGGGGGATAGAGAATGAAACAGATGGAATTCACCACACCTAAGTTTATAATAACTATGATTGATACCTGTTTCTCTACCCTGACTACATACATCTCCTTGACTTAATCAGTTGGAAGTAGCCGTATTTGATATGTTGAAAATGAGATGTGGTGAAATCCAAGCCGGACAACACAGACTCCACTGCCCTCCTTCATTCGTGGCTTCACCATTAAGCAGCACAGTGGGATGTGGACTGGGGAGTTGTGGTCAGTGCACAACAGGTTCTGCACTTGTAAAGTGGGACATTGCTGGATCTGCTCATGAAAAGGATCTTGATGATTCTCCCTATATCACAAGCTCCAGCCAAGGTGTGCCTGTACCCTCATGATGAGGGTCACACAAGGATGGACTGATACACATGTGCTCAGGCATGTCTGCATGGAACCATGCCCATATCTGTACGCTCACACAAAGCTAAAACCATCAGCACATGGGGACTCTGCTGAGGAGATGCTGGGACCGCACTGGCACAACAGGGCTCAGGTACTGTGAGGAAGGACCAGGCCACAGACATGCTCCTGATGTTCCCTGAGAAGCCACAGAGACTGCACAGAGCGGGGATGAGGCACAAGAGCCCAGCACAGGTGTCCTGAGAGCACTGTTGGTGTTGCAGTAGGGTCCAGCCCTGCCAGCAGAAGCCCATCTGCACACAGCAATGGCCTTCCCTCAGAGAGCTGAGGGGAGCAAGAGGAAAGGCTGTGCCATGTCCTCTCCTGTGGCAGTCCTTGGGCATGCGGAAGAGAAGCACGAGAGCGGTGCCCATTTCCCACAGTGTGGCCACAAGCAAGCCCACAGGAATGAGCCAGGAGCACATCCCCTGCCTGCACGGGATGCACCAGCCCTTGATGGGAGGCTTCTGCTGCGCTCACGTGGTTCTGCCCCGGAAACCCTTGGGCTTCTCATCCCGGCACTGACAGAAGCCTTCCTATGGCAAAGCACATGAGCCGGGAAATGAAAAGGCAGCAGTGCCGGAAACCGGGACACGGCCCCTGCCATTACCTGGGAGGGTTTGCATTTGCCATGGGCTTGTCAGGAAATTCCTGCTGCCACAGAGGTGCCTGTGGGCCTGAGGCACTGCAGGACGACTATAAAAGGCAGCCCAGGTCTGTGCTCCTCATCCACTTCTCTGGCCTCCTTCTCCTGGCAATCAGGTGAGTGCGAAGCCTCTTGTGCTGCTGCTTCCAGAGCAGGTCGTTCCTCCCCGGGGCTCTCAGCTGATGGGGGCTGTGCTAGCGCAGGGCTGGGAGCTGCTTCTCGGTGGGGGGGCAGAGGGAAGGGGAGAGAAGGGCTTGTGCAGAGAGAGGCTGGGACTGAGCTGAGGCATCTGCTGGGCTTGGAGGTGGTCAGCGTGTGCTGGGCCAGGAGGTGCCTTGGCTTGCCCAGGCTTGGGTGCAGAGCTGCTGCTGCCGTGTCCCATCCTCTGCTTGCCCCTGCCCTGTGTCCAGGTGAAGCTCCAGCATCCAGACATGTCCTGCTGCAACCCGTGCGTGCCCTGCCAGCCCTGCGGCCCGACCCCGCTGGCCAACAGCTGCAATGAGTGCTGTGTCAGGCAGTGCCAGAGCTCCACCATCGCCATCCAGCCCTCCGCCGTGGTGGTGACCCTGCCCGGCCCCATCCTCAGCTCCTTCCCTCAGAACACCGTTGTGGGCTCCTCCACCTCCGCCGCCGTTGGCAGCATCCTCAGCTGTGAGGGAGTGCCCATCAACTCCGGGGGCTTCGACCTCTCCTGCATCACCAACCGCTACTGCGGCACCAGGTGCAGACCCTGCTAAAGCTGCTGGCTGCGTCCTCAGGCAGGAACATCCGCGACCTCACACCATGGATCTGCACAGGAGATAGAGCTTCGCGGCGCTGTTTCCTTCTCCCACTGTCTTCTCCATTCCTTTCCTGTCTCCACCTCCCGCACCAGCCCAGTGGGGACCTCCTGGCCTCTCTCCCAGTGAGGGACAGGCAGACGGACACCCTGCAGGAGCTGCACCGCATCTTGGGGTCTGCCCCTGGTGCTCCCTGGGAGCCTCCTCCTTTTCTTCTTTACCCTCATTAAAGTTGAGCTGCATCCAAGCCTGGGCCTCCGAGTCCTCCTTCCTTCTGTGGGAAATTCTCAAGTCTGCTTCCCCTTGGAGGTGGTAAAAACATCCCTGGCTACTCCACCGACAATGGCCATCAGTGAGAGCATGGCTCCAAAGGGTGGCAGGAGTGGGCATGAGGAGACAAGACTGCTCAGAAGAGCACACAGCTTCTTCTCTGATCTTCTCTCTGCCATCCTCTCTCCTACCTCAGCTAGTACGCTATCTCTGCATGCACAGCACACATGGGCACAGGCAGATGAGATCCTACCTCATGCAGTCCTTCAGCACCTGTCAGAGCCCAGCTCTCTCCAGGCATGCAGGGCTGAGGTAACCCAGCACTTAGGAAAATGACAGTGGTAACACCAGAGTCCCCCAGGTTAGGTGACAGACATGGGGAGCTGATAAAAATCCCCACAATCCAGGAATAAGTGGTGCTCCACTTAGACATACACCTGTCTATGGGTCTGGAAGGTTCCAAGCAAGATGGCTGAAGGATCTGGCAGAGGAGCGTGCCAAGCCACTCTCCATCACTGATCAGCAGTCCTGGTGTAGTGGGCAGATCCCCAGATGTTGGAGGTTGGCCACTGTGATGTTTCTTTAGAAAAAGGCAGGAAGGATTTTCCCAAAGCTCCAGGCCTGTCAGCCTGAGCTTGGTGCTGGGGAAGGTCATGGAGCAGATGATCCTTGGTGAGACCATAAGGCACGTACTGGAAAATTTAGGTATCAGACCCATTTCACACGGGTTCCTGAAGGGCATGTACTGTTTGACCAACCTGAACTCTTTCCATGACAGGGTGACCCACCTAGGTGATGAGGGAAAGGCTGTGGACATTGTCTATTTGACTTTCCTGAAGCTTTTGACACTGTCCCATATCGTTCTGCTGGAGAAAGTGGTTCCTCATGGCCTGGAAGTGTGGATTCCTTGCTGGATTGAAAATGGCTCGAAGGCGGATTCCAAATAGTGGTCATAAATGGCGTCACATCTAGTTGGCGACTGATTACTAGTGGTGGTCCTCAGAGTTTGGTCTTGGGGCCAGTGTTTACAATCTTCGTTGGTGATCTGGGTGAGGGGATGGAGGGCACCCTCAGTGACTTCGTGGACAACACCAAGTTGGGTGGGAGTGTTGATCTTCCGAAGGCTAGGAATCTCTGGAGAGGGATCTGGACAAGCTGGATCCGTGGGCTGTGGCCAATGGAAGAGGTTCAACAAGGCAAAGTGCTGTAGCCTGCGTTTGGGCCACAACAACCCCCTGCAAAGCTCCAGGCCTGGGGAAGAGTGGCTGGAAACTGCCCATGAAAAGGACCTGGGGGTGCTGGTTGGTGGATGTGAACATGGCCCATGTAATGCTCAGGCAGCCAAGAAGGCCAAGGGAATCCTAGTCTGGAACAGACATAGTGTGGCTAGCAGGACCAGGGCATTTGAGGCTGCACCTAAAATCCCGTGATCATTTCTGTCCCTCTCACTACAAGAGACACACTGAGGAGCTGGAGTGGGGCCAGAGAAGGGCGGTGGAGCTGGTGAAGGGCCTGGAGCACAGTGTGATGGGGAACAGCTAAAGGACATAGGGAACTTTAGTCTGGACCTTCTCTCTCTCTCCAGCTACCTGACAGGTGGTTGTAGTGAGGTGGGGTTGGGCTCTTCTGCCCGGTAAGAAGTCATAGGAGAAAAGGAAATGCCTCAAGCTACGTCAGGGGAGGTTTAGAGTGGAGATTAGGGCCAATTTCTACATCAAGAGTGTGATCAGGAATTGGAACAGGCTGCCCAGGGAAGGGGTGCAATTTGAACAGCCCCGGGAGCCTTAAACAACGTGCACATGAGGGCCTTAGTGACAATGATTACTGGTGGATCTGGCAGTGCTGGGGAAGGGTTGCACTTGATGATCTCAAAGGTCTGTTCCAACCTCACTGATTCTATGATTTTATGAGAGGGGCCAGGATTTAGAGCATTAGCCAGGGCTGGAGACCAAGGCCTACAAAGGAAATTTTCAAGTATCATTGAAAAGAACATCTACGTTTGCATTCTTAAGGAAGCCACATTCATTTCATCAGGGAAGATGAGCACCTGAAATAGGATGAGATCCTGCTGGGGGTGCTGGGTTCACAGGTAGTGGGGACCCTGTTGGACAGCCTGGTCTGGCTGCTGCCAGTCCTAAGTGTTGGGATAACTCACCCGTTCATGCCTGAAGAGAGCTGGCCCCTGCCAGGTGCTGAGGGACTGTATGAGGCAGGATCTCATCTGCCTGTGCCCGTGTGTGCTGGGCATGTAAGGGTGGTGTGCTGGGTGGCGTAGGGGAGAGCAAGGCAGAAGCAGTGGGCTGTCCTCAGGCAGCATTGTCGCACCATGCCAACTACCGCCACCCTTTAGAGACATCCCCTCACTTATGTAGTTTAGCCAGAGATGTCTTTGTCACGTCCAAGAGGAAGCAGACTTGAGGATTGCCCACAGAAGGAATAAGGACTCGGAGGCACAGGCTTGGATGCAGCACAACTTTAATGAGGGTAAAGAAGAAAAGGAGGTGGCTCCCAGGGAGCACCAGGGGCAGCCACCAAGAGGCGGTGCAGCTCCTGCAGGGTGTCCGTCTGCCTGTCCCTCACTGAGAGGGAGGGAGGGAGGGAGGCCAAGAGGTCCCCACGGGGCTGGTGCGGGAGGTGGAGACAGGAAAGGAATGGAGAGGACAGTGGGAGAAGGAAACAGCGCCGCGAAGCTCTATCTCCTGTGCAGATCCATGGTGTGAGGTCGCGGATGTTCCTGCCTGAGGACGCAGCCAGCAGCTTCAGCAGGGTCTGCACCTGGTGCCGCAGTAGCGGTTGGTGATGCAGGAGAGGTCGAAGCCCCCGGAGTTGATGGGCACTCCCTCACAGCTGAGGATGCTGCCAACGGCGGCGGAGGTGGAGGAGC